ATAAAGCGCGCGCGGGCAGCTGGCGGGGCGCACGCGTGAAAACGGCCGCGCGCGAGCGGCTAGTACGGCGCGCGCGGTAAAAAAAAAAAAAGGAAAGCCACGCGCGGGCGGCTAGCGAGCTGCGTGCGCGTGGTAGGTAGGTAAGGAGCGCTCTAGGACGCGCAGGCGCACGAGGCGCACAGTAGGTAGGTAGGTAGGTAGGTGGGCCCTAAGAACAGTCCTAGCGACGGACCTGCTCTGAAACCATGTCAGTGATAACGGACTGGAATGGTGAACTAGAAAGGATTGTGAGTACAAATATGAAACCCTAATGTTGTGACCCCCCTATAGGCTAACCCACTACAGCCTACACAAACACAACACATATAATGTTTGACAGGAGAGCGCAAAGGTCGACGGGAGGGAGAGCGCGAAGATCGACGGGAGGGAGAGCGCGAAGGTCGACGGGAGGGAGAGCGCGAAGATCGACCGGAGGGAGAGCGCGAAGGTCGACGGGAGGGAGAGTGCGGAGGCGACGGGAGGGAGAGCGCGAAGGTCGACGGGAGGGAGAGTGCGAAGGCGACGGGAGGGAGAGCGCGCTGGTCGACGGGAGGGAGAGCGCGATGGCGACGGGAAAAGTGATGGGAGGGGAGGGAGGAAGGGCGCGGGGAGAGCGTTTCAGAGCAAGAGCGTAGGCGACGAGCTGTGTGATGGGAGGGGAGAGAAGAAAGGCGACAAGGGGGGGGCATTTCGGGGAGAGAGCTAAAGCCAACGAGTGGGGAGCAAGGGCGACGGGGAGGAGGGGAGAGACCCGCGAAGGTGAGGGGAGGGGAGCGGACAGCGGACGAATATTGTAGCCGCTGAAGGGTAGTGGAGATGGCCAAGGCGCGAGACACGACATTAGCCGCTGCGGAAGGGTAACGACCGTTTGCGGAAGAAAATAAACTGACGATACTAAGCTTACTAACAGTAAAACGCATTCCTGCAGGGTCGATAGTTACTTTTCCTGGTCACAAACACCTACTATTGTCAGCTAAATTATGCTAGGGAAAAAACTAGTGAGTTCGGGATGAAGAGCAGCTAGTCGTGAAACCCAGTTCCAGCTTGAAACCAACGTTCACCTGGCGATGGAAACCATCGATGGGCAACAGTCGTGCAGGTGGAGCACGATGACGTGCGACGGATGAGATGCGCATGTAAACCTTTTTTGGCGGGAACAGAAAGAATCAAGATTGGCGAAAGCCAATCACATTTGTTCACAGTGCTGCACTTTTTGTTTGGAACAGTGCTACACCGGCCCCATCTCTGTCGCACCATTTCAAGTTGGGACAGGGTTCATTATTTTATATTTCGGTTTTAATGCCAACCGAACACTCAGGCCATTTTTTCCCGAAGTTTCACTGCAGCTACAGTCTGTTTCTTGGGCCATTTTTTGGGGGCCCATTAAAAATGCCCATAATGGCGATAATGGCTATAATGCCTGCCGAACAGGGCCCATGTATCATACTTCACATTCACAGGTGTAAGCCTGGAAGGAACGCATAACTGTCAGGCATTATTGTGTCAGACGAGGATCGGTAGATATCAGTTGAAACGAGTTGGATTGGATCGGCTGCCAGTGCGCCACTGGCTTCTTCGGCTGAATATCGTGAATCTTGATGTTGAGGAAGAGGGGAGGAGAGGAGAGAGTATACCAGCAGCTACTTGTGCAGCTTCATAGCTTTTGACTCACGACCATTTTTAAACTATTTAGAGCGGAACTTAGACATACGTCCTGCCTTCGACCATCCTCTCCGCACTACCTTGCTAGCTACGTCGTTCTATCGCATGGAGTCGACTCGCGTGTCGTTCGACCACCTGTCGGACGATCTCCTCTGCACTATCCTCCGTGAGAGGTTCAACCAGTCAGCTGCGCATTTCTCTCTTGCCTTAGTATGTAAACGTTGGTTTCGCGTTGTTTGTCTTACCCAAAGGTCGATCTCCTTCAGAGGCGCTGTTCTAACCACCCACGTTCTCAAACCCCTTCATCAGTTTAAGAACCTGACGTCTGTAGCGATCTGGGGTTCCACGGATCCAGGCGACGATCTCCTTGTTGGTCTGAGTTCCGCTTGTCCTAAATTGACACATCTGCAACTTAGCGATTCTGGCCGTTCCGTGATTACGCGTACGGGACTAGATACACTGTTCACGGCTTGCACTGACCTGCAGGTACTCTCGCTGAAGATATCCGTGAATATTCAGCAGATGCCGACTTCTTTTTTCGGTTTAACCTCTTTAACGAGCGTCACACTCAGTTTCGGCCTCGACGAGTTCCCGGATGAGTTCGGCGGACTGAAATCCCTGGAGAGATTAACATTGGAGTGCTTGCACATCACAGATCTACCAGATTCGATCGGCCAGCTCACCGCATTGACCGAGTTAAGCATATCCAACTGCAAGCGGCTTCAGGATCTGCCCGATTCTATCGGCGATCTTCGTTTGTTGAAAAAACTGGAGATTTTCCGTGCAGTGCCTTTGGAAGTTCTCCCTGACCGCATCGGCCAGCTTCGGAACCTCGAGCATGTTCTTCTCTACCTCAACCCGTCCCTGTGCGAGATCCCGCATCCCTTCTTCCATCTCCCTTCTCTCAAGATTCTTAAGCTGTGGGAACTGGAAGCTTTATCGGAGCTTGACAGCGCAGTGTCGAATCTTGTGGCTCTGGAAACGCTCGACATTGAGAAATGCTGGTTCACTGCGCTCCCGGATTCCCTCTGTCAGCTTCCCAAGCTCCGTAACCTCATGGTCACCGACTGCTGGGCTCTTACCAGCCTTCCGCGAAGCATCGGCGACGTATCTTCACTGCAGCATCTAAAGTTCTCCGACATCAGAAGGTTGATGCGCCTCCCAGGTTCCATTTCGAAGCTGTCCGATCTCCGATCCTTCGTCCTGAGACGATGCGGACTCATCGCAGAGGTCCCGGCCTCTCTCTTCCAGGACTGCACGAACTTGAAGAAACTCGAGTTTGACTGGCCGTACAGCAGCGGGAATGCCGGTCCAGCTGGAAGAGTGCCTTCCGCTGAAGCCTTTGTGTCTAACCTTTGCGAATTATCCAGCCTGACATCCCTTGCCCTGTCTGGTGTTCCAGGTCTCACCACTCTTCCCCACCAGATTGGGAATCTCTCGCAGCTGGAGCAGCTGAAACTTCGTTCTTGGCCCAAACTGGAGAGCTTGCCTGATTCCATGTTCAAGCTCACCGACCTCCACACTCTTCGGATTGTTGCCTGCCCGGATTTCGATAAAACGATCAATGAGATTTCTGGGCTTCCTGATGTGGAGATCGTAATAGAAAGCAGTTGCTGGGAAATGGACGAAGATGACGATGACGACTGGTAGCTGTTGTAGAATGAATGGTGTGTAGTGTATTTGTGCAGATGTATGTGGGTGTGTCTATTGCTCTGCTACCTGTAGTTGGAATCTCCTTGTTTCTTTCCCTTACCAACCCCATCCCATAATTTTACCACACACCAGTACCTCTGTGTCTAAAGAGGTGTGCCTCCCATAGTAATTTCTCTTCATTTTCTCTTCCTCTGTTCTCTCATACGGTATACACAGAGTCTGATTGGAAACTCTGCCACCAATCTAACTGCTTGCTCTCATCTGTCATTTGTGCCGACAAATCAAAGGAGTAAGTCTGATACTTTTTATCATGGGCATTTGTTCTATAAATATCTCTTATTTGTGGTAGTACCAACCTTCAATGGGATTTTGTAACGGCTAAACTTCACATCCTAAACTGCAGGCTCCCTTGACTGAGCAGAAGTACACTTCACAGTGTAGTGTGTAGTGTAGGGCAGGCCTATACTTGCTTCTCCCGTCTTTTCCTCGACTTCTGACCAGCAGACCAGCTGATAGTGATGGGGAAGAAAGGGATGTCCAAGAAAGTGTGATGCATGAGTGGCAGAGTGGGTAGAGAGGGAAAGTTGGTGAAGGGGAAAAAGTGGAATAGGGACAAAACGCACAACTGTGTCTACACATCCATACTGTAAAGATAAGTGAGGATTTTGCGGATAAAGTTAGTGTGAAAGTGAGTAAATGGCTGGGGGTGGGGAAAGGGGATGGGAAGGGGCGAGAAGAGAAAGGGGGGAAGAGGGGGGGGGGGGGAGGGAGGAATGGGAGGAAGCAGCAAAATCAAAAAGCCATACAAAAAGGATATGCTCTTTTTGCTCCGCCTTTCCTTCACCCACCCTGTGCCTGTTTCACATATTCAATGGCCAAATGAGGCACACCAAGAGCCACTACCACCTTCGCCTTGCTTCTCCTGCTCTTACTCTTGCTCCCCCTCCCATAGCACTCTCTTTCACCATGCCCTTCCCTTCACTCATTTTATAGTCCACTCCATATTCCCAGCCACCACTCTCACCATCCACACCTGCTGAGAACACCACAAGCCCACCTGTTTTCACTTCGAGCGCACGCTCCCGCTCGCTCGCCTACTAAACCACGGACCATTCCCAGCCAGCCACCATACTCACCATCCACACGTGCTGAAAACACCGCATGTCCTCCTGTTTTCAATTCGAGCGCACGCTCCCGCTCGCTCACCTACTAAACCACGGAACATTCCCAGCCACCATACTCACCATCTATACCTGCCTAAAACACCACCATTTCCAGGAAACGCGCACCTGTTTTCACATTGTGGCCGTTTTCTACCCCTGCTGCTGGCAGGGCTGGGATGACTTGACGGACCCTGTGCTCCTTGTCTTGTGCTGGTCGCCTTCTCTCGCCACCTCCCGCGTTTTCTTCCCCTGCTGCTGGCAGGGCTGGGATGACTTGACCGGCCATGTGGTCCCCGTCTTGTACCGGCCGTCTTCGCTACCTTCTTCCCAATTGATGTCGTCTCTAGCTGCCTCCCGCGTTTTCTTCCCCTGCTGCTGGCAGGGCTGGGATGACTTGACCGGCCATGTGGTCCCCGTCTTGTACCGGCCGTCTTCGCTACCTTCTTCCCAATTGATGTCGTCTCTAGCTGCCTCCCGCGTTTTCTACCCCTGCTGCTGGCAGGGCTGGGATGACTTGACCGGCCATGTGGTCCCCGTCTTGTACCGGCCGTCTTCGCTACCTTCTTCCCAATTGATGTCGTCTCTAGCTGCCTCCCGCGTTTTCTTCCCCTGCTGCTGGCAGGGCTGGGATGACTTGACCGGCCATGTGGTCCCCGTCTTGTACCGGCCGTCTTCGCTACCTTCTTCCCAATTGATGTCGTCTCTAGCTGCCTCCCGCGTTTTCTTCCCCTGCTGCTGGCAGGGCTGGGATGACTTGACCGGCCATGTGGTCCCCGTCTTGTACCGGCCGTCTTCGCTACCTTCTTCCCAATTGATGTCGTCTCTAGCTGCCTCCCGCGTTTTCTTCCCCTGCTGCTGGATGGGCTGGGATGACTTGACCGACCATGTGGTCCCCGTCTTGTACCGGCCGTCTTCGCTACCTTCTTCCCAATTGATGTCGTCTCTAGCTGCCTCCCGCGTTTTCTTCCCCTGCTGCTGGCAGGGCTGGGATGACTTGACCGGCCATGTGGTCCCCGTCTTGTACCGGCCGTCTTCGCTACCTTCTTCCCAATTGATGTCGTCTCTAGCTGCCTCCCGCGTTTTCTTCCCCTGCTGCTGGATGGGCTGGGATGACTTGACCGGCCATGTGGTCCCCGTCTTGTACCGGCCGTCTTCGCTACCTTCTTCCCAATTGATGTCGTCTCTAGCTGCCTCCCGCGTTTTCTTCCCCTCCCGGTGGTACCGCAGATAAGCCTTGCAGAGCTCGCTGGTCAGCTTGCTCCACTCTCCCTCTGCTGTGCGAATAAATCATGCAAATGGGATTACACAAACGAATTTAGGAATACACATCAACTGGAAGGTAAAGGGTAAAAGGCAGAATGAATTTGTAGGGTATAAGGTAGTGTTGGGGAAGTACCTCGAATCAAGGATAACGCCTTTGCGTACGGATGTTTCGGGCTAGCAGGCTCTGGCAACTTGAAGTGGCTTCTTGTCCTCATCCTACTTTCCGTTTTGCTGTCCGTTAACGTTCCGTCATCGTCCACCTCCGACGACTTGTCATCGACATTGTCCCCACTATCCCCGTTACTATCGGCATCGTTGTCGAGATCCCTATCGCTACTATCAGTATCTTTACTACCATCGCTGTAGCTGTCGTTATTCCTACTATCGCCGTCGCTGACGCATTCTACGTCGCTGTCACTTAGCGTTTCATACTCGTCATCACTGAGTGAAATAGCTGTGCATGCGGACCCGCCTTTCGCCATTCGCAGGCTGTCTAAACAAAATATAGTACGAAATGAATATACCTAAAACTTCGTCTTAGAGAAAACCAAGGCTAGTGGCTGAACGACATCAGAAAAGAAGCATAGAAACGCCGTTATAAGGAAACGTATACTCGGCCGAGCCTACATTCACTGCCTCGATCGTCGACGCATACTATGATGCGACTATCGAGCTCGCGAGATGCTATGATGGCAGTCGGTCTCATCGCTCATCGTCGTTCGAGACGCCAGACATCCAGGCACGTCAACCTTGAGAGTCGCCAGTCAGTCGAGTGGTGTCAGACAGGTAGGCCACGGGGAGCGGTGGAAGGAGAGAAAGGCAACTAATGAATAGGCGGAACTCGAAACGTGATGGTTTAGAACCAGCACTCTATGACTGGAAATTTTCAATTTTTGAACAGCTCTTTCCAGCAGCCATGGACCTTGGACATGACATGCCACGGAACCAAAGTTGAAGTGTTTTGTAACGGTTAACAAGCTACAGCACCGTACTGCAAAGCTCTGTCGGCACACACCCGCAAGGTATGCTATGATGGTTGCAGATCACGTTCGCGAAGGTCGCGAACAGCTCGCAAGGGGGGAAGTTCAAAATCAGCCAATTCGGGCGGTGCTGAAAGTTACGGGTTCGTTATGAAGTTCATCAATACCTGTTGCAGCATCAATACAAATTGAAACTTCCATTCTCAAACATCGAGGCACATTCGAAACACCCAAATCTGCTGCTCATTCTAACAGATTTTAGCAAATACAACCCGCTCTAGCAGCCCACCCACATTCGAACTACACAAAAGCCAACCCAGCGCTTTTACTATGCCACAATAAAACCATGGCCACTCTTCACTTCTTCTCCCCGGCCGCGGCGCTCGCCAGCTGGCGCAAATTCATTGGCTCGATTGAATCCTTGCCGCCCAGGAAAATGCTCTTGGCCAGCTCGCGGTTGAAGGCCTCGGTGGGATGAAGACGATCCCAGAAGATGCTGTCCTGGGGGCGGGAGCACGCCATCGCGGTTACCTTGTAACCACCAATGGTGTCACTGGTGCCGCACTGCACGAGGCCATTGAGGGGAGGCGGGCCGCCGCAGCACGCGCTTGTTTTAAAAAGACCAACAGATGCAAGATCCGCAACAGCCTTTTCCGTGAAACCGTACGTCTTGGCCAGCAGAATATCCGAGCCTTTGAGGGTCTTGCGCAGCGCAGCAACAGCAGCGGCCGCTGCTTGTTGTGCTCCTGAGCATACGCATTCATCGCGCTCACGCACTCCCCATGCTTCTCCGCCGGCAACAGCGCCTGGCGCCACAGCGGCAGGCAGCCGAGGGGGGGAATCTCGAACAGCAGGAACCGCCGCGCGCCGCGGCTGTACAGAGCTTGCACGTAGGCCTTGAGAGCCGCAACCACGGCCGACGCAAACGCCTGCACTTGCTTCGCGCCGCCCGCGGTGATCCTGGGGAGCGTCGTCTCGTCGATCTTCTCCCCGAAGAAGAGCACGAAATAGTCGTTACCGCCGAGACCAACGACGTAGAGAGCGGTGGAGAAGACGGAAGGCGGGGGCAGGCTGACATCAACACCGCCCGCGGCTTGCGCGGATTCCGCCTGGATCTTGTCGAACCACTCGAGCTGCTGGGAGGCTTGGAAGGCGGGGAAGGTCTGGCGGAGGGGATTGGGTGGGAAAGGGGACGCAGGGAGGGACGCAGGGAGGGACGCAAGTATGGAGGTAGGGAGAGAGAAGAGAGAAGGGAACAACGCGAGCTGTTCTGCAGCTGGGCCTGTTTTGTGGCGGGAACGAGTCGTTGGGCACATTCGATGTGCTCGGATCTGTTTATTAGTACTAACCATCGGTGCTGAATGCGTGCAACGTGTTGATAAGTTTCAATCATTTATAAGTTTCAGAAAGTTTCAATAAGTTTCTAAGTGCACGCGCACTTAGAATTTACGAAATCAGTGCCGTATGGGGACGCTCGCCGATGAAAATCTAGACACATCGTTGATTAGATTCACTCACGTATCCCGTGACGTTGAGCGACGCTCCACTGCTGGCGAAGTTGACTCCGAACGTAGCGTTTCGGTTCGGATCCAGGTACGGCGGAGGCGACGCGGGGAAGCCCAACCACTCGGCTGCAGAGGACCAAGGGAGTGATATAATATGGTCACGAGGAAGCACGGAAGCCCATTCACACGGTACAGCGGCTGCTTCCGAAACAGCGGCGTACTACTAGTAGTTTCTACTTGGAGGCGTACTATCGGTGGAGGTAGCACGCTGACGCGGAAATATATTAATCACAATGATGAGTTCTCACGAACCCATCCACTCATATTTGGAGGAGAAACGCGCCATTACGGAGAGGCGGCGGGAAGAAGAGATAGCGAAGCGAAGCGGAATAGTCAAACGCAATCTCTTACCGAGGAAGTCGATTCCGAGCTTGCCGTCGCTCACGCGACCTGACTGTGGGATGAAGTTCTTTCCGTACGGCGGGATGTTGAACTAAAGAACGGACTTGCCGTAGTTGTTGTTTCCCACGTCCTGAAGCGAATCGCCGAAGACGAAAATTGCGTCGATCGGCCCAGTTGACGCAGGCGCCGTCTTAGGCGGCTTGTAAGTAGGCGATTTCCCCCTGCCGGCTTCCGCAGTGAGTAGAGATTCCCCGAGAAACAATAGCGCGGCTAGGAAGAGGAAGCGCGGCGTGATCACCATCGCGGCGCGTGCGTAGAGCGAGTGGCTTATGCCTAGAGCAGGACGAGCAAGGTGCAGTCGCGCGGGGAAAAGAAGTACTAGCTGCTAGAATGGCGAGTGGCTGAAGGAATGAGGATGAAATGAGACGAGTGGCTGGTGTGACGAAGTGGTGGGTATAAATGTTGAATCTTGGGACGCAGAGCGGAAGTGGCGGAGAGAAATGCGCGACTTGAGACGTGTTACTCCAACCCAACGCGTTCCAGTTTGGGGAAAAACAAATGGTTTGAGTCAGGGACCCTGAGTTTCAGGGTGTATGGTTTGGGCTCCGATAATGTCCGTCCTCATCACCACAGCATCTCTAAAAAGCCAAAAGTCCCTCCGTAAAAACTCCAGCATCGACCTATTGGCTGGAGTCGTCCAGTCTCTAAAATTATCGATTTCTTCTTGCAAAAACAATGGATCCACATTTTTCCGGATGCCGCCGTCTTGCTTCCAAGCATATCCGCGTCGGAAGGGGTGGGTTTAAAGGTTTAAAGGTTTTTATAAGGTCGTAACCCTTTTACAAACATGCAGCTAGAGAAGGATACAAGCAAAGCCTAGCTCCCCGTAGGGAGCACGTGTGAACACGTTATCCTTCTGCTACTGGAGCAGAGGTGTCCTAGGACAAATCTCTAGCCGACATGTGGAAAGTACTGGAGCTCAATTCAAGGTGGGTGAAACACATCGTTGAGAAGCCAGATGTCGCGTAGCTCGTGGTGGATGACTGGGCGGCTGGGTTCTGGGAACAAGAAGAAACGATGGGCTAGGGCCAGCTTGGCAAGCTTGGAGGCTTTGGCTCTCTTCTTCTTGGAGCCGTTAGAGAGCTTCCACATGAGAATCTTATAGGCGAGGAGGAAATAGTGTAGAACTTGAAAAAGCGCGTCCCCAGTTTTGGTCACCATCTGTCTATAACGAAAGCTGCACCGCGCATTCCAAATTGTTTTCGCCGCGGCACCCACTAGTAAGCTCCATGGGGCTCCTTGACCAGCCGATGTGGCGAGTGGAAATAGAGTGACTTCAGGGGAGGTTTTCACCCCCAAATGAGACTGGGCGGTACGCTGAAGCGCTTCGATGATTGGTCGTGCCACTCCGCACTCGAACAGTAGGTGAGGAAGAGTTTCTAGGCGACCGCTGCGCAAACGCCCTTGTCACGCGCAAAGCTGAATCTGGACCCAGAAGGAAGAGCCAGCGAATAAAGTCGGAACAGAACATCTCGTTGAGACGACGGCTGCTCGGAGAGGAAGGCATGTTTGAGATTCGGGAGGAGCGGCGGGCCAGGGTCAGGTAGTTGGTTAGTCCACTTGTGGGGGTGTGTCAGGTCTTGTTGAACGTAGGAGAGATTGCGTATGGTGGCTAACGACGGAAAGCCGTCAGAGAGGAGTGTAAAGCGGGCAACCAGCCCCGCTCCAAAACAAAAGGAGCCCCCCAGCCATCTATCGAAGACGTGAATCGGCACCGTAGTTAAAGTCGAAAGGAGCCGACGCACCACAGCTTCTTTCCCAATACGACCTGTTTCATCGACCGCGTACATGTTAGCATAAAACCTGTTGTCCGATGGGGATTCTTCCACTTCAAACACATTCCTGGGCGGGGAGAACATCTCTTCGGCAGGCATAACCCAGTCTCCTGGGTATAGGTGAACGAGGGAATGAGATGACGCAAGGGCAGTCTGTCAGAATGTTGTATTTGTCTAGCCTGCAGTGGGGTACTCTATAGCGAGTACAGCCCAATCTAGGGTTTGCTATTTGTATCTCAACTGCTGCTAGTCCAAACCCCTCTTTCTGTTTCTAAACTTTGCCTACTACTTCTGACATGGTATCAGAGCAGGTCGACCCCCTTGGGTCGATCCTGTGGGTGGGCCCACCACCTAATGCTTCCGCTGCTGTTCTACTTGTCGCGCGCCTCGGTCGCGCGACGCCTCCTTCCTGCCGTACGCTCGGGCCGTGCGGCGGTTTTCTGCCTACCGTGCGCCCCGAGGCGCGCGGCGGTTTCCCACCGTCGAAGTGCCCCCCGTCGCCCGTCGAAGCGCCCCCCCCCCCCCCCCCCCCCCCGTCGCCCGTCGAAGCGCCCCCGTCGCCCGTCGGAGCGCCCCCCGTCGCCCGTCGAAACGTCCCCGTCGCCCGTCGAAGCGCCCCTGGGACCCGCGCGCGGCCCGTACGGGCTGCGCCAGGCCCGCGCACGGCCCGTACGGGCTGCGCCAGGCCCGCGCGCGGCCCGTACAGCTCGCGCGCGGCTTTTACGGGCTGCGCCAGGCCTGCGCGCGGTCCGTACGGGCTGCGCCAGGCCCGCGCGCGGCCCGGGCAGCCCGCGCGCGCCTCGTCCCGCCTGCGGCAGACCCGTGCGCGCGCCTCGTCCGTCCCCCAAGCTTCTGTCGGCGCCCCACCCCCGCTACTGCCCGCGTTCCTGTGTTAGGGTGTGGGGGTGGCGGCTGTGGGGGTGCCGGTTGTGTGCCCCGTCCCCTCCTTCTCCTCCTCCTCCGTCTCCCGCTGCTGCAGCTGCCGCTCAGGGGGGTGGGTGTGTGGGGAGCCGATGGAGTGGTACTAGGGGGGTGAAAGGGGAGTGGAGCTAGGGGCGAAGCAGGGGGTGTGTGTCGAGGGGTGTGGGACTGTTGGGGGAGGTTGAGCGGAGGCCGCCGTCGTGTCGTCTGCAGCGCCTGTATTCCGGGGTTCTGATAGCCACCGGTAGCTCAGAGAGCCGGTTGCACCTGTCGCCCTGTCAGAATCCCAGCCACTAACCACTGGGATAAAAGGGCTTGTTTATATAGCGGGTGAGTGCGCCCATAACCCCCCAGGCCGACGTGCCTGTAACCCTTCCCTAGGATCATCGGGGATCCCCAGTGGACCTCTGACACCCCCCCGCACTGGGATGCCCGAAGTGCACACACCGGGAATCGAACCCGAGACCTTTGCTCTGATACCATGTCAGAATCCCAGCCACTAACCACCGGGATAAAAGGGCTTGTTTAGCGGGTGAGTGCGCCCATAACCCCCCAGGCCGACGTGCCTGTAACCCTTCCCTAGGATCATCGGGGATCCCCAGTGGACCTCTGACACGCCCGTGGGTCCGTTGCTCCTGTCGCTGCTGATCAGACGCAGAGCCTGTTACTCCTGTATTCCGGGGCCCTTGCTCCCGGTAGCCACTAGAGCTGCACCAGAGCCGTCTGTTGCCCGTGTGTCTGCAGCTTCAGTCGTCGCCTCCACTCTTCTCTCCTCTCGCCAGCCCTCCTCCTCCTCACTTGCCCTCTGTGACTACCTCTAGCTTTGCTCATAAAATGTGAACTACTGTTATGACTGCTTGTTGTGCTGATTACACCCCACTTTGGCTATGGGGGTGTGTCAGAATGTTGTATTTGTCTAGCCTGCAGTGGGGTACTCTATAGCGAGTACAGCCCAATCTAGGGTTTGCTATTTGTATCTCAACTGCTGCTAGTCCAAACCCCTCTTTCTGTTTCTAAACTTTGCCTACTACTTCTGACACAGTCCACCATTCTTTGGGCATGGCATCATAAATCTCCTTGATGATCCTGCGGCTACAAGGGTATTTCCGGGGGGGATATTGAGCCATTATTTCTGGATCAGTAAGTCGACGAGCTCCCGAAGCGTCCCGGCGGACAATATGCCCAACCCGGACTTCCTCAGTGATAAGGAAAAGCTCATCTTGTAAACGTCCAAAAGGACGGCCGCCAGGGTTGTTGAGGAGCCTGTTAAAGGGGACCGGCTCGGCAAGGATGCACCAAAACTCCAAGCGAGGGGGGGTAACCTCAAGTTCCAGTTCCAAAAGACACTTGACTTCTTCCCGAAATCGGGAGGGGGTGGAGGGAGGAGCACTCGGATGAGGTGAGAATCTGCGAAGAGCACGCTGGATGTTCAGTGCTTTGATTTGTGCAGATGGACGAATTGCCCCCAACCCCCCGTGTTCTACCTTATTGTAGAGAACCGTGTGCGTGAGGAGTCGCGTAGTGCGGCCCGCCGACTTGAACTTAGAAGCGGATAAGAAGTTGCCGACCGTGTCGTCCAGAGCTCGAGTAGTCGGCGAGGGGGGAGGTTGGAAGCGACCTGGGAAGGAGAGAGCAGAGTTAAGATTCTCCGATGACAGTTGTTTTCTGCACGACGAAGTGGCATGTAGATTAGAAAGGAGATTGGCAGACTTTTTAATTTTTGGACAGGGTAATGTTCCAGGTGGTGTCAGTGAGGCCAGAGCTGCCCACGAAGATACCAAGAATCCTCTCAAACTCCGACGGGAGGCGAATTGGGATATCGCCAGCGCGGGTGATGTCAGAAGGGGCAAAATTGAAGGGAATGAGGGAACACTTGGCCCAATTGGGGTGTTCTCCGGAGACCGAGGCGAAGGACAGCAAGGCATGGGAAGCTACCCGAAGCTCTTCATCAGAATTGAGGAAAAACGTGATGTCATCCGCATAGCAAGCCATCAAACGACGCTGGGTGCGGGAAATGGGGAAGCCAGGCAAGAAACAAGAGGAATAACGGTGAAAAACCTCAATGACGCAGAGGAAAAGCAGTGGAGCCAGCGGGCAGCCCTGTCTGACTCCGGTTCTTACAGGGATGGGGGGGCCACAGAAGTTGTTGACAGAAATCCGGGTAGTCGTCCCATAGTGCATCAGTTTTACCCAATGAATGAAAGGATCAGGCAGCCCGAGATGAGAGAGACAGGTGTAAAGGAAAGGGCGATCGACCATATCATACGCCTTACGAATGTCAACTGTAAGAGCAAGCAGGGGGAGTGATTGTGTTGTGGCCCAGTCAAAAATATCCAGGGTGTCGTTAAGCGTATCCCCAATTCTCCTTGACTTGATGAAAGTTTTTTGTGAGTGATTGATGAGGGAGGGGAGGAGGGGTTGCAGCCGATTAGCCAGGCATATTGCCAAGACCTTGTAATCTGTATTCATAAGTGTAATGGGTCTTAAGTTGTCAACCAGGGTGGCATCACTTTTCTTGGGGATAAGGACAGTCCGTCCCTGCAACATAGATGGTGGAAGAGAACTGTGGGGACCCTGGAACAAGGCGTGGAGAGCAGGGGTGAAACAGGTGCGGTAGGAACGAAAGAGTTCTCCGGAGAGGCCATCCGGCCCCGGAGTTTTCCCCTTGGGGAGAGCGGCGATAGCCTTCGAGATCTCAACAAGGGAGAAAGGAAGAGAGAGTCGGGAGAGAGAATCAGGAGGAATCTGAGAGGGGGGGATCATGTTCCAGAAGGAAGGATCGGGGGTGATGCGTTGGGAACCGCTATACAGTTGCTGAAAGAAGGCGGTGCACAGGGAGGACATATCAGGAAGGTCAGAGACTGGAGAGCCGGAGGGGGACTGCAATGAGGAGATCAGTGATGCATTGATTCTGCTATTGACTCCGACAAGCAGGGAGGAAACCCCCATCTCACGCGGGCCTTCCACCTTGAGCTTTGCTTTCATAGCAAGCTCCGCAGAACGACTAGCTTCGTAACGCTCAAATTGTAACGACACAGTGCGCAGCCGTTCCTTAGCCACCAGGTCAGTAGGATTAACTGCAAGGTGAATACGAAGTTGGGATGTGAGGGTCTGCAGATGGGATGTGGTTTTCCTGACACGAATCTTTTCCTGACCAGCGAAAGCCTTGATACGATTGCAGAGGGAAAATTTCCACTGGTCCCAATCAGGAGCGGTGATAATAGAGGGGAGAGAACGACATGCCGAGCTCACTATATGTTCCAACTGTGGACGCTTAAAATAGCCAAAGGAACGCGCCAGGGCCGGGGGGCGATATTGGGGCTATCGCACTGGAAGGAGCACGAAGGGGCGAGATCGTGGTCAGAAACGTCCTTGGAGACAGAAAAATAAGCAGCATCTAGAAGCCGGGATGCGAGGGAGTCAGATAAGTAGATACGATCAAGCCGGGAGGCGGTGGGAGCCGAATCCCCTTCTTGATCGCTTCTCGGGATGGCAAAGAAGGAAAACATGGTGACATTTGGGAACATTTTTCGGAAGGTATCAGTTAGGCCATGGTTGGAAAGAATGGTGGACAGAATATTGCCTTCTGAGATTTCATGGCTGAGGAGAGGCCGGTTCCGATCCTCGGGAGCGCAAACAGCGTTAAAATCTCCTGCCAGGATGGTGCCGGCCGCTGCAGTAGGGATATCAAGAGCTGGAGCAAAAACAGCACGCCACCACTGCCTTCGGAGGGTGACCGTACATGGGGCGTAAACAGCAATAACACGAAAATGCTCTTGCATGAAGTTGATGTGGACCGAGAGCAGGCGCCCGTCAGGAAAGGGCTCGATAGAGGAAATGGACACATTTTTATTACAAATTAGTAGAGCGAGACCTCCTGGTTTAGCACGATCGGAAAAAGGGGGGGGGGCATTGAGCGTGGGAGGAGGGCCTGAAGGAGAGGATGAGACGGGGATAATTGAGGGTAAGTCTGGTATCGACTAAGATAAGGATGTCAATCTTTCTTTCACTTTTAGAAACCCAAGAGCGAAGATCATACATTTTTTGCTATTTGTTCAGTCCATTAACGTTGATACAACGGATGGTTAGGGGGATTAACATTTGGAACAGGTGAAGGCCCTTACATGCTGAAGCATGTGCATCCACAGGGCGTGAGAGAGGAAGGAACCAAGGGTTGAAATAGAGGCGACAAGCCCCACCAGCGCATTTAGGTACTTTTGCAAGTGGTACAAGGACAAGGAATAGCAAAAGTGTGTGCTATCAGGTCCGACATGCAGCTGGGAGGCTAGACAAGCGCAAGCAAAGGCCTGGCCCACCGATAGGGCAACTACTGCAGGAAGGCACTGATGTTCTGATGCTGCAGCAGCGTGGAGACCCTCCAGGCTCCATATTTCTCTTTGACAGCAGGAAGATGCGCCGATTCCTGCAGGCGCTTGCGGTGCGTCTCTGAAGCAATGTGGTACATAGCGCTGTCCAACGCCAAGCCACAGGTGAAATCGCACAGAGAGCACGTCCAGACGTCCATGTCGAGGTCCACTCCGATGAGAAGAAGGCCTGGGTCCTTCTTGAAAGCTGCAGGGGCAGGCTGCTGTCCAATCAGCCGTCCTGCGATGGAGGACACAAAGCGGCAGAGCTCGGAGAGGGGAGGGAGTCAGGGGCTTGACGGAATGCCGCAGGGGAGCGAGGGGGGAGTCAGCGGAACAAAGATCAAAGCCCATGGAAAAAACCACACCCATAAATTGAAGGGACAGAAGTTTACAAAGGAAGCTAGCAAGAAACCAGTCAGCGGGGAGTATAAAAAGCGATAAAAAGGGGAAAGTACCGTTGACAGATTGCAGCTGAGACACCGAGATGGCGTGACGATTGGGGAGACGTGCCGGGCGGGTGAGTGCGAAACAGGCGTGGTCATTCACTCGGTGGTTACTGGAACACACGGAGCAGGAGTGGGACGAGATGTTCAGGAGCACCGGATCCTCCTGGCCCGGAAGCCAGAGAACCGCGGGGATGCGTTCGAAGCCGACGTCACCTTCTGCTGCCACAGGCAGACCGAGCAGCTGGGAGTATGCGGAATCGTCATACGGGTCTTTGAGGCGATGAAACAGGCGGATGTCCGAGAGCCAAGGCTGCCCAGCGTCGGTCACGCCAGCCAGAAGAGTGCTGCGCAGGCGTTCAGGAGAGTACCCCAGCGGCACGTTTCGGAGTACCATGTGCGTGTCGCCCCTGGCACGGGCCATCGTGAACTCCAGGTTGGGATCAGAGAACACTTTCACCTCCATTGCACGGTTGTTAGCCAGACGAACAGTAATCGGGAACAGGGAACGAAAAATCCTTGCATCCTGAGCAGCCAACCAGAAAAAGGAATGCCTCGAGTAGGTACGGCGGGGACGCTGCAAAGCCTCACCAGTGGCCGATTCGTAAGAGGGGATTACACCGTTAAAAGCCTGACCGTTGATGAGAGATGCGATGCGCGTGAGCACCGCCGCACGAACCTCCTCAGCGGACGATTCAGGGAAGATCACGTCGACCAGTGACTGCGTGTTCCGCGTCAGTGCGTGCAGGGTTGTTCCGACCGTCGTGCGGTGGCGACGCAGATTCCGAAAGCGAACATTAGGAGCAAGGCCAGAGGCCGCACCAGCCGCAGCATTCTCAGGTTCAGGTTCCGGGTGCACGGGTCGGGAGCGAGAAACAGGTGCCGGACGAGGCGCAGAGGGACCAATCGCGCGGCCAAGCGCAGGAGCCGTGGCATCGGAGCTACCAGAAGAGCTCGCACGAGGAATCGACGGTGGAGCCGAGGTGGACGCAGAAGCGACCCCAGAGGGGCCAGCAGCAGAGGACTGCCCCTCACCACAGAGCTTTTTCGCCGCCGGTTCGCCCGACTGGGACGGGTGACTACTGGCAGGAGCGGAGTGTGCGACCTCGTCATTGAGCACAGGCAGAGCGCCGTCAGCAAGGTCCTCGAGGAATTCTTCCCCAAGCTCATCGAGGGTGTCATCACCGACAGGGATCTGACCCTCCGTCATGACGTGGTCGGGGTTATGCTCCGTAGCCATGGTTGCGAGGGGTGATCGTAAGAGAAACGAGAGGAAGGGTTTATACCGGAGGCGAGGAGAGAAGCCAGAAGGCAACGGAGCGACAGAGAGCAGCACGGAAGGCAAAAGCCCGTATCGCGCAATGAGAGCAGGTGAGCGGTTCGAGCAAAGAGAGGTGCCTTGGCAATGGCCGTAGCAACCGTGAAAACATGACTGGGAGCCAGATCGGCTACCCGAGTCGGAAGAGCGTGCATGTGAAGGGTAAAGAAACACCAAGCCACCGCGAGGGTTTGCGAGCTGGTCGTGAGGTGGAACAGGTAGGCCAGGGTCTGGGGGACGGAGTAGGACCGCCGCAGGGGCCTTGCATGAGAAAAATGCAACCAAAAGAGGTCCATCCTGACTCACAACCAGCTTGGACAGGGAGGTCTTCTGGATAAGACAGCCACTTCCTTGATTCGAGCGGAAAACAGCCACCTTTTGAGGTCAAGCCACGGCCTTTGCTGAAGTGTCGAACTGTGGCAGCACAACAACCCGGAGTTAGCGTAAACAACTTGCAATCCCAACTCACCTTTCCCAGGATGTCGGAGAAGAGGAGGCGGAGAAGAAATCGGGATATCAAGAACCTGCGCACAGGTCCCTCGTTATTGTACAAGAAACACCGCTTACCTTCAAGAAGATCGATCCGAAAAGAAAACCGAACGCAAAAAGCATTATCATCGTAGCGATCCAAGGGTGTTGAAGGGAAACGAGAGCTAGTGCAAACGAGGACGAGGAGCAGCAGGGAAGCGGAGAGCTTCATTTTTTTTCAGCACACAGCTCGCGTCGGAAGGGGTGGGAATGAGGTGAAGGCGTGCTTGATGATGTCCGCTTTGAAGAACACAGGGTAGTTTCGAAGTTACCAAAGTTAAAACCAGGTGTACATCCCGTCTCACCCAGATCTCCCACCCAGCACCCCGCAAATGGAGGAGTGACTCAAAACGAAAGGAGAATCTGGTTGACTGCATTATGCGACTCCAATGTCATCGCTCCAGCAATAAAGCATTCTCACAGTTCCACAATTGGGTACAGCGAGCTCTCAAACAAATAAACATATCCATAAGTAAGAAGGAAAGATATGATAACAATAGGGCCAGAGTTAATAGACACATACATCTCAATTCAGCAACAATTTCAAGCAAATATGCAAGAAGGCTGAGCTAAATGTATAGAGGTATTGGCTTATGTATACCATTCTGAGGCATGCAATCACTCTATGGGAGAACGCAAACGTTCAAAGAGACAAGCTGAACCAAGTTCCTAGTTTGAACAACAGGGGAGCCAAGAGAGAGGACTGGGGGGTGAGCGGACACAACTGGGGAGCTTGGATCGGAATTTGGGGGGGGAAACAAAGTAACAGGGGAGGTCGGGTAGTAAACTGGGGGCTGAACCAAAACAACAGGCGAGCTAGGACGGGAAGGAGCTGTTGTGTGGTACCAAACAGGAGATGTTGCAGCTGCCACAAGTGGTGATGAAGTTGGTGATTGGCTGAGGGGACTCAAAGCAGCCGGAGAACTGGGATAGGGAACTGGGGGCTGGACCAAAACAACGGGTGAGCTAGGGTGGGAAGGAGCTGCTGTGTCGTACCAAACGGGTGACGTTGCAGCTGCCACAACTGGTGATGGTGTTGGTGATTGGCTGAGGGGACTCAAAGCAATCGGGGAGGTGGGATAGGCAACTGGTTGGTTACCCAAAGCAGGGGCCGAGGCTGCTGTTGCCGGTGACCAATACGGCTGCTGCTGGTGGTGCTGCTGGTGGGGCTGTTGGTGATGCTGCTGGTAAGGCTGTTGGTGATGGTGCTGGTAAGGCTGTTGGTGATGCTGCTGGTAAGGCTGTTGGTGATGGTGCTGGTAAGGCTGTTGGTGATGGTGCTGGTAAGGCTGTCGGTGATGCTGCTGGTAAGGCTGTTGGTGATGCTGATGATATTGCTGGTACTGCCGCTGTTGGTGATGCTGTTGCTGCTGCACCTGCCGACGTGGGGGCGTGCAGTTGACGTAGTTACTAGATCGGTGGTCTCTTCCTTGGAATTTCGGACTGGCGAACCCACTCCTTCCTGCAACGATATCAGCATACAGTGCCGGATGCTGAGTGTTGCGATCCTGATGCTGCTGCTGCGGCTGCTGGTGCGGCTGCTGCTGCTGCTGCTGGTGGTGGTGGTGGTGGTGGTGCTGCTGCTGCTGTTGCTGATGACGAGGGGGCGTGCAGTTGGCATACGTGCCATATCCATAGCCTCTGTCTCGGGGTTCTGGACTGGCGAACCCACTCCTTCCTGCAACGATATCAGCATACAGTGCCGGATGCTGAGTGCTGCGCTCCTGATACAGCTGCTGTGACTGGTGGTGGTGCTGCTGATGGTGTAGCTGCTGCTGCTGCTTGATATGCTGATGAGGGGGCTTGTAAACGCGGCTGTGCCAGGAGTAATGCTGCTGCAAGCGATGCTCTACTTGGTGATGCCGATGCTCATGGTGATGCCGAGGGTCATGGTGATGACGGCGTGGGGGGGTGCAGTTCACATACTTCTCTGCCGGTGCTGCCAATCCCCGCTCCTTCTCACTCTCCAACCGTACATTCTCCCGCCTCAGTGTTCCCCGGTCCCTAGAGTCACACCCGACAGCTCGCACATTCCTCGATCGCTGGCGCAAGGGCACATCGCTTTTCACAGGAGAGATGGCTTTGAGTGGCGACAAGGCTTTGAGTGGCGACAAGGCTTTGAGTGGCGACAAGGCTTTGAGTTGAGGTGCAGCGTTGAACGGACCTGTGCTCACTCCCTCTCGGCTCCTCACCCACCCCTCCCTCTCATTCTCATCGTTGGTCTGCGGGAAGCTTCTCGGACCTTTCTCCTTCCGACCTTCATCGCCTCGACCTGTGGTAGTAACCTGACCAGTCGCACCACACACCCCTCCTCGTATCGCCGGTCGCTGCATCGCCCTTGTTGCTGCTTCAGCTGCACTTTTCTCTTCAGCCGCTCTTTCTTCTTCAGCCGCCCTATCTGCTTTCCCTGCAGCAGAACCATCTGCACCATAATCACTTGCAGCAACAACTGGTTGTTCGTCACCTGCCTCAACTGCCCGCCTTTCCCTCCCACCCTCCTCACCTACCAGCCCTCCTATCACCAGCCCTTGCAGCGCCTTCGTGGCAGCTTCCACTGCTGCCTCGCCTGCTGCTTTCCGTGCTGCTGCTCGCCTCTCCACCCGAACCCTCTCCTTGCGAACACTGCGAACGGCGCGAGCCGCGTCTCCTCTTGCGTGCTTTTCAGCCAGCACTGCGACTCTTTCCATCTCATTGGACCAAGGCTGCACAAAAAGAGGAGACGATAGAGAATGGGGAATGAATAGGTTGAGCTGTAAGACTCCTCTTCTTGCAAACATTGCGGACGCTGCAGACAGGGTCTCCACTCGCTTGGTTTTCTGCCAGGACTGCAAATCTCACCACCTCCTAGGACTTAGGCTGCAAAAGCACAGGGCGGGAACAAATGATGAAATGAAGGCGGAGGTTTGTTCATTGCACATCCTGCTTGCCACGTCTCCCCGCACATGCCTCTCTGCCCGGATTGTTACTCTCTCCGCCTGCTTGGGCCGAGCTTTCAAGCAAGCACAGAGCAGAACAGAGAATGAAGAACCATTGAGGAGAGCGATCGTTTCGTTCCACTGCTGCATTGCCTTCAGCCTAGCCTCTCCGCCTCGTAATGCATGGAGTGTCCCGACAACCTTCTCTCCCCTTCAGCTTTGAGGTGTCTCAGAAGCTACTGAGACGTCTCAAAAGGCGAGCTCACCTGGCGATGCGTTGAGAAGCCGTAGAGCTTCCTTCCGTTGAGCATGTGCTGCTTGAGTGGCGGCAAAGGCTGCAAACCCGAGCTCCAAAGTACTTCCACCTGAAATCGAAATTAAAATATTAGAGCTTTTACTGGGGACACAAAAGGTATACTTAAGGACCACAAGAAAACTCATAGCAGGGTATAATTCTTTGACAGGATTCTCGCCTTGTAAGTTCTGACAGGTAGTAAACCGAATTATTGTACACACAAGCAAGTGATCGCCGCAGTTACCTTAAGTTCGCTTTTGTGTCAACTCAGAAGTGAAACATGCGAACGTGCTTACAGTGAAAGTGTGTTGCTGCTTCAATTCGCCGTAGCTCTCGATGATCACTCGCCCCGCCACTTGCAGACACCCCGGACAGTCTTTCTTGTGCCTGCGCTCACCATTTCGCGCAATGTAAACACGCCGTGGAATGACGGGAAGCAATTCAGATATGAAACAAGGCTGGCGAGAAAAAGTCGGGAGAACAGCGACGGAACAAAGCAGAACGGGGGTCTCACCCTTTGAAGAGGCACTGCTTGAAGAGCACCACGTCGTTCATGCACACGTCACCTGCGTGGACATTCGACAGTGGAGCACAGAAACAAAGGAAAAAGGAGTGTTTTAGGAAAAAGGCACAAGCAGAGAGCGTGCAACGAGCGCCATCGAATGCTCAACTGAGATCTGTTTTGGTCCACGAGGTATCGAGCTATTTTGAACGTATTGACGTCGCAAGCTTATTGAGTGCCGTAGTAGAGTAATGGAAGAGAGGGAAACAGTGAGAGAGGGTAACCGGGCGCGAAGGCGAGCGGACGAGAGTGCGAGAGGGCCAGCTATGAGAAAGTACCTTTGCAGTGGATGGAGAAGGATTCGGGCGGGTACTTGCGCATGGCTGTTGCGACATCGATGATCCTGGCGGGGAGAGACAGACATGGAAAGTAGGCATAGTGAAAGCGACTTTTGAGTCCACTCAAAAGGTACTTGCGCATGGCTGACGCGACATCGCTCATCCTGGCGGGGAGAGACAGAAATGGTCACAGCTTGCTTTACTACTCATAGTGAAAGCGTCTTCCGTTTGACCATACAGCAAGAAGCGACGTTTTTGCTTTTGAGTCGACTCAAAAGCAGACTCATTACACGCGGTTTCTACATTGAACAGCAAGAAGCGACATCCGGGATGGTTTAGTATGGTGAAATTTGCGGAGAGGCAGAGGTTGGTCAGTCAAATCCAGCGGCGGAAAGCGTTCAACGCTTCACTTTACAGCAAGAAGCGTCATAGGGATGGTTTTGCTTTCGCGGTGGGCTCTGCGGAGAGGCAGAGGTCTTGCAACAGTCACATTCAGCAGCTGAACGCGGCTTGCGAAACATGAATACGAGAATGTGGAAATATCCCCGCGCAAAAAATGCTTCACCAGAGTGGTTGGTTCGGATGAAGGGGAAAGAAGGGAGAGGGGAGCGGGGAGAAGGAAGGGGGAAGGGGGGGTGAATGGGGAGATAAAATCAGCTTATAACGCGGATAAACTCACTCGACGTGCTCCTGAATGCGGCTGACGAGGACGGGCTTGGCGCCGCTCACTCGCAGGCGGTGGAAGCGCAGGTACGCCTGGCACTGCCCAACGGTCATCTCGCTCCACTCGCCCGCTGCCATTGAAAGAACACGTTAGGGATACGCGTTATAAGTTGTACTTGGGGAACGATATTTGCAGGCGATGGAAGCGCAGGTACGCCTGGCACTGCCCAACGGTCATCTCGCTCCACTCGCCCGCTGCCATTCGATTAAGAGCATACCGGGAATACGCTTTAAAAGTTGAAATTCTGAGGCGCCCCATTCGTCGCATCAAAATTTGGAGCCTTTGTGGACCTGACTAGCGACGGCTTGAGTACTAGACTGCATCTTGAACAGCAAAGGATTGATACGGATTTCGGAAGCAACCTATGATCCTGTATCGAGGATACTTGCAAATTGACTCAAGTTCACCCCAGAGGCGGTTAACGAAGTGTACCTTGGATTAAGGACAGCGCCTTGGCGTAAACATCGGACGTGGAGCATCCCGCGTACACCGTTCTGTTTCTCAGAGTCCGCACGCCCGCAGCGTCTGACGCGTTGCCTCTCGAGATCGCTTCACTCCCTTGTTCGCTAGACTTAACGGTGGATGTCGCCTCGTCGTCGCCGCTGCAGCTACTACTGTCACTATCGCTGCAACTGTCGCTACCGCTACTGCTGCTAGTGGTTTTGCTGCTACTAGTATCGGGATTTCTGTCAAGTTCGTTGCTCTTCACTTTGCAATTACCGTGGACAGTTTCACCTTTGTGAGCGAAAAGCAGACTAGCCGCCCGTTCCGGCTCGGCAACCATCATAGCGTTTTTCACCGGATGCACTATCGTATAATTTCGTGCACGGCCTGTCAAGTACTCGCAACAAAAAGAGCTGAGTACTTTGTGACTAGTACTACTGCCCAGTGACAGTATGTTAAAGCTCTAACCAAGGCGGTGCATCGATCTCGCCTCCGGCTTAGAACAACATTGGCTTCTCTGAAAGAGAGTGCTGAAGCTAAGCGGCAGAGTCGATTCTGCAGCTGTTCCTTTTCTCTTGCTTTTGAGGTCCTTGCTCTCCCTGCCTAGTCGTTTGGGGGAAAGCAATGTGCGTTGGGTGCGGTTTGGCAGAGAAATTCAAGGGTGAGGATCTGACGAAATCGACCTGACACACCATCGCGACGCTCGATTCAACCCAAATGTCTGACATGACAGGAACAATGCCGAATCGCGCAGCAGTGCCTGAGGGGAAGTGTGGGTGGCCTCGCAATAGTTCAAATTTGCGCGGGAAGCTGAAACCATGCTCGTCTACACAACAGGGTGCTTCCTACAAGCTGAATTTTGTTTGTTGTGAAACTCGCGGCAAATGTCGAATTCCTCAATACGCGTACAACTCGAATGCCTTTCTCCTTGGTACACTCCTTTGCCCCCCAAACCCCTCCCACCGCAATCTCGAGTGCCATGGGGAATAGAATTCGTCTGATAGTCGCATCCGTCGTTTCGCCAACCGCATTTCGCATTGTTGCTCTCGTCAGCCTCACCCGTTCACTGGAAAAACCGCTCCCGCGGCTGACTCCGCTCTGACAAGGAGCACGCTCGCGCAGCCGTCAGATGCGCTAGCCTCCGCCCCCCCGGATCAAAACCCTAGCAGACTTCGTTAAAGTGCACGAATTGCTGTTACTCGCGACAGGCTTACCTCGCGAGCTCTGCCCACGACTGTTCGAGAAGATTCGAACAGATTCGATGCGGAAAGATTCGATGCGGGCAGCAGATCCGCGATCGAGGAGGTGGAGGGCGGGCGGCAGAGGCGCGTCGTGCTGACACCTGGCGGGCAGGGATTGGACGCGCACGGTGACGTGTTTTTAGTGGACCACGCGGGGTCGTTCCGATTGGGCAGGCGCGGGAGCAGGCACGTCTGCGGAGGGGGAGTGCGGGGGGGAAATGTGAGCGGGGAGAGTGTGCGGGAAGCCAGGCGCGCGATCAGGGTCGTTTGGCAGCAAGCAGTGCCATGCCATGCCATGGCATTGCGGACAGGGGGAATGGCGGGGGGAAGGAGGGGGGTATTCATGCGAACGGGCACGTTTGGTGGGGGGGAGTGTGTTGGGGGAGTGGGAGGAAAGGGGAGAGCGTGTTAATCCGCGAGCAGACACGTGTGGAGGGCAGAGTGTTGCCTGTTGGGGCGGGAGAGGGAAAGAAAACGGCGGGAGGTTGGAGGGTGGGGGGGGGGGGTGAAGGAGGGAGGAGAGGGGGGAGAAAGGGGGGACAGTGGGGAGTGGGAGGAAACGGGAAAGGTGTGAGTTCTGCGAACAGACACGTGTGGAGGGCAGAGTGATGGCCGTGGGGGCGGGAGGGGGAAAGAAGGGGGGAAAGGGAGGGAGAGAGGGGGGGGAATGGGATGGGAGCACAAGAGGCACATTGGTGATGGGATGGGCCAGCCTTCCGTACGGCAAATGCGATTGGCATGACACTCCCTGGCTGGGAACGTTTGAGGCGCCTCAAAACGACTTCTGAGGCGCCTCAAGATGACTTGTGAGGCGCCGCAAAACGAGGGTGAGGGTGAGGGTGAGGGTGAGGGTGAGGGCGAGGGAGAGGGTGAGGGAGAGGGAGAGGGTGAGGTGAGGGAGAGGGTGAGGGAGAGGGTGAGGGTGAGGGAGAGGGTGAGGGTGAGGGAGAGGGTGAGGGTGAGGGAGAGGCTGAGGCGTGCATGGAGATGAAAAACCACCTGACGAGGACTCTTCAGCAGGTGAAATTTGAGGTGCCTCAAAATTGCGGGTAATGAGTCCACTTTTGAGGTGCCTCACAAGGCAAGGTGTATGTCAGTTGAGGCGGGCATGGGGATGAAGCACCACCTGATGAGGACTGTTCAGCAGGTGGGTGGTGAACAATGGGTGGTCGTGTAATGGCGGCTAGGCGGGAGAGGAAGGGGCATAACAAGCTTGCTTGCTCTCTTTGTTTTGAGGCGCTCAAAGCAGGTGGGTGGTGAACAATGGGTGGTCGGGTGGTGGCGGTTTAGGCAAGGCAGAGAAAGGGGCGTTACAAACTTGCTTGCTCTTTCTTGTATCTAGTTGAGGCGTGCGTTGTGATAAAAGAAAGCAAGCGAGCGAGCGGGCGATCAAGCAAGCAAGCAAGCAGCGCGGAGCGTACAAAGTATGCCACATGCATTGTGCCTGTGCCAACCACCTTCCTCATAACGCTCTGTAGTTGCATCCCTACTGTTGCAAGCAACGGCAACGCATGTCCGTGGTTACAGGACACAAACGACATGCAGTCGTAGCTGGCATGATTGTTCGGGTGTTGTGTGGCTCTATGCTCCACCTTTCATGCTTCTTGTACTCTCTACTTGCTCTCCTCTCGCTCTACTCTTGCCCTTGCATGCAGGCATGTCGCAACACGCGTCTCTGGCTGCAAGACACGTACGACGTGCAATCGGAGATGGCAGCGCTGATAGGATGCTGCATGTGTGTGGCGTTCTGTGATACTCTCTATGCTTGGATGTGTGCAGGCATACGGCAACACGCTCCCCTGGCTGAAGGACACGTACGACATGCAGTTAGAGCTGGCAGCGCTGAAAGGGTGCTGCTCGGGAGGCTGAGACCCTTGAGTTGACTCAAAAGTCAAAGCTGCTCAGGAGGCTGAGACCCTTGGAGCTTTTCTCTCCGACGTGTTCTGGGTGAGTGAGCCGTGTGGACTGCTGCTTGCTGTTTGCTGCCTGGTTTTGGGGAGTAGCGCCCCACAACAAGGCAAAGACTGGGCTGTGGGAAAGCCTACTTTTGAGTAGGCAACCCCAGCCCTGTCACTCAAAAGCTCCCCACAGCCCAATCACTACTTGCCGTTTGCTGGATGGTGGGTGGTGTGGTGTTGAGGAGAAGCGCCCCACAGCAAGGCAGAGGCTGGGCTTCGGGGAAAGCCAGGTGAAAGGAGCAAGCTGGGTCAAGGCAGCATCCCCCCTCCCCCACATGCTTGATTGTACCGCCACCCGTTTCCACATGCACCACCAGGCATGCATCGCCAAGAAGGTAAATTCTTCTCGAGCAGAGCCCTAGCTGCTAGGCTTTGGATTTCTGTGGTGGGCAAAGGGACTTACCCTGCACCTCCTATCACTTGCACCACCAGGCTTGCATTGCCAACGAGGCACACTCCCAAGCAGAGGACTACCTTTCAGAATTGTAACTTCTGAAGTGGCAGAAAAGACTCGCTCTGCGCTGCACCTCCTGTGCCGCGCATGCTTCAAGTGTACACCGCTCTTCCTGCGCATCGCCAACAAGGCAAATGCCCATGCTGAGTATTTCCTTGCAGTCTTGTAACTTTTGAAGCGGCTCAAAAGTCCGGCCTCCACCTCCCAATCTTGCATACTGCATGACTCGCCGTCAAGTAATTTCTAGCAGAGGACTCTCTGTCGGACTTCCGGACACGGTGAAATTCATGAATGTCTGAAGGAACTACAATTTTGAAATCTCTTTGCTAGCAATGCAAGTCAAAATAATCATTTAGGTTGTTTCGTCAAAATACAACTTGTACGCGTTTTGCGATTCATCAGCCCAGCCCACACGCCCTATGGGACTGTCGCTCCCACACCCCCAATCCATCTGCTTTCCAAATTACCTGACCTGAGCAGCTGGACCCAGCGCGGCTCGGCGGAAAGCTGTGACCTTCCACTGGCCACTTATCAGCGCTCTGAACCGCAAGGGAAACCTTTTCACAACGTTCAAATCAAACCCAAGAGTCTGCTTGTAGTGCGAGCATCTCGAAATGCAGAAGTGGCAGTAGCTAGCACCACTTCCGATGAGTTGTGATTTGCGACTCTATTTCTGGAACCCAACGACTGCGTTTCTTTCCAGGGAACTCGATACCTAAGCTATTGATTCATAACTTCTTAGCATCTCTGGTAGTTCGCAGTGTTTCCTAGGTCGTCCCCCAGCTCCTAATCTAAGACGCATTCCGATTCCGTAAACCGCATTCCACTGACGAGTTAATCTTATTCCGTGACCTTCACTGACAAGACATCTTTCTTTCCCATGGCTCACTGTCAGCTTTGACCATCCAATCCGACGTCTAACTTACTGCCAGCTCAGCATGGCTCACTGGAAGCGATCGGCTCTCTGCCTCCTCCTCGTCCTCGCGCTCTGCACGAGCGGTGCTCTCGCCGCGAAGAAGAGACGGTCCAAATCGTCGAGCGCCGCCATTAAGATGCCGAGCATCGACAAGCTGCAGTTCGAAATGGACGAGGCGAACAAGCGAGTGGCGGAGGCCGCTGGCGAAATGGACGAGGCGGAGAAACTCGTTGACGAAGCCATGTATGCGAAGAGAGAGGCGGACCTGGAGGTGCGGAGACAGAAGGAACGGATGGCGCAAGCGATTGCGGAAGCGGAAAAGGCGGAGGCGGAAGCCAGAGCGGCTGGATACGTTTTCTAGGACGACATAGAGATAGATAGATGTATCCGGCGTACTTGACTCATTTGGCGAGATTCGTGCGGCACAGTGGCTCATGCACCTGCATCTTTGCTTGCTTCTTGCCTCCAATACTCCTGGTTGGAACATAGCCTGAGATCAGGTGAAAATAAAATGCGATAATGAGACAGACATAGCCTGAATGGGTGTAAACGAGGAAGACCGTTTTCACTTGGCATATGCAACTCATCCATCGTTTAGTGATTATATCCTCCCACGTCATCCATTTTATCAGCATCTCAAATTGACTTTTTTGGGAAATTGGTGTCTGCCTTTCGTGTTTGTTTCTAATTTCTATCACATGTAATAAAACAACTCGAGAACACCATACGAGTGTCCAGTAACGCGTTTACCATTCGCAAGCTGTCACGAACTGTCGGTACCCAATCAAATTTCTGTCTGTACGAACGAGCTTTGTTTGATGACGTCAAGCAAAATCCACGCATTGGCGGCGGTTTTTCGTTTGGTCAAACTGACACCATTGGACAGGACACAGCTACTGTTGTGCGCGCGTAATACTGTACAGGTGAGCGAGGCGCGATGACTGACACATGCACTTCGAGAGCAGCTTCTGGGTTGATTGAGGTGTGCGGTTACGATCTGTCGCAGCTTCTCCCCAGCTAGCTCGAGAAATTTCAAATTCGCCTGTTTCTCAGCGTTTTTCGAGCAGACCCCGCCACAAACACAAACGCTGCCACTCCACTCCAGCCCAAAATTCCAAGGGCGACATCAGTTCTCGCGGGCTCACACTTTCTTGTATCGCGGTTCAAGACGGTAAAATACGGTGGAAAACGGTTTTCGAGTTTTACTGCTTTGCACCGTGTTGAAACGAAGGTAACCGCAGTGGCCGTGTACAACCTGACGTTGCCCCAACTCTTGAGGTTCCCCTTACAATTTTTTTTTTGGTAGGTGAAAATGCATTATACAACGTACAACGCAAAACACCGTCGGTCGTAACCGGAGCTAGAGGGCATAGGTAGTGTATACCGTACCCTCGCAGAGATCTACGGAGGCTTATAGACCAAACGCCTAAAAAAATCAACTTGCCCACTACAAAACCTCTTTGTGCCGTTGGCACACTTCAACTCTGGCAGAAACGCCTCGGTAGGTTCCAGGTTCTGTGTCTGTCGCTTCGGCTGGGAAGATTCGGCTCCGAGCCTGCCTTGCCGTGCCTTGTAAAAAGGTTGGGATCCAACAGAGAAAACCCTGGTTCGAAATTGCTGCCGAGCGGGACCTTTGTGACGGATGTACAGTCTTGGTCCTTTGGCTCCAAATCTGATTCGCCGAGAGTGGTGGAGTGCAGAATTTGCCCTGGATCTAAGTTGCTGCCTATCAACTGTGCCTTGTACACCAAAGCCTCCTGTGCCAGGCAGTTGCGTGAGCGGTGTGCTGGGAGCTACCCCCACTGTCCGAGGGGAGAAAGCAGGAGCAGCTGCACCAGCAACGGATTTCTTCTGAAAGACCCCGAGCCGTCTCACAGTCAGTCTTAGCGTAGCGCCATAGTCCAGTTTCCTCCAGCGACATGAGCTTATCCTGAAAACTTTCTGCCGTAGAATCCACCATGTTATGCTCTGTATCCATGATACCATTGACCTTCCCCTCCTGCCGCCAGAAGTTGTAGCTAAGAAACACAGAATAAACGTCTTCCTGAGTTGATGGTGAAGCTTTCTGTAGAACAGGTGGTTCTTGATCTGATATGGTCAGAATCCTCATTTGCTTGAAATCTGGACTTGAGTCAGCCACGTAGACATTCCTTGTAATGCGTTGAGATGACAAGCGTGAAGCTCCTGCTTTTGAGCGATGTAGGATGGCAGAAAATGCTGATAATCTGAAAATGTTCCGTCCAGAAATTTCCTTGTACTTCACACCCTTTCTTGCACGTGCACTTCTTCTCGGGAGCCATTCTAGATGTCCTTCATTTTGCTTCTGCTGCAAACATTATGTATACCCCGTCTTGTCAGAAACCAACGCTGATCCAAACTTGGTAGTTCTCGATGGTGGTAAAAAACATGTCCGCGGCTGACGCGACGTCTCTTTTAAAGTCTGTTGTCGAACAATTGAAGAGAATGTTGATAGACGAAATATATTTGGCGGTCCAGTTGCTGTGTACTTTCTCTTCTCATGGTGTGTCAAGCCTTTCTTGCTGTCCAGGTTCCAACTTGGGTGACGACTTGTGCTAAGCTTGGCCATTATCACTTCCATGGAGTAACTTAATGTCTTGAGCTTAAAACCAGTTAAAATCCTGAAAAACAGATCTTCACAAGAGGAAGTCGCGACGAACCAATGTTCTCTGTTTGAACACAAAATGGTGTCGTAATCAAGCTCTTGATGAGTAGATCCGGAATATGTATTAAGCTCAAAAGCACAGCTTGAACATCGCTCGTCTTAGCTGGTTCTAACACGGAAGGTATCGCTTGTTACGCTCGAAGGTAGGCTCTAACGTGTTTTATTATTCCTGCTCCACGCGTTTGTGTTCTCAATTACTAAACTACTAGTATCTGGACGACCCGACATTGACCCCAAAGCGACCCCAAAGTCACCTTCGGGTGAGTTGCGTAAGTTAGGTGCGGGTCGTAGGGGATGTCAGGTTCGGGTCACTCGATTTTGACCCACAACTAACCTGACCGTGAATTCCAGCGTTGTACTTTATATTTGGGTCGCAAAGTATTTACCCACTTTTTGGTCCTATAGTTCACGCAATTGGCCAATGTTTCAAGGGTTTGGCGACTCGGCTAACAGGCAATCGTGATCCGCCAATGTTTGTTTCGATGGCGTCACGACGCTGCTCGAACCGCGAAGCTAGGTTCGGTCGGGGTCAGTTTTGGGTCTGGCGCACTATTCAGGGTGAAATCCCAGACCGGCAGGTGAATACAGGGTCAGGCTACGCTGCAATTGACCTAAAAATCACTTTGGGGTGACCAGGCAGTGACTTTGAGGGTCCCATTTTCGGATGGTCAGCCCCCGGGTCAGCCAGAAATTGGTGATGTAGGCATGGCACCGATGACAATCATAGTAACCGTAGGCTGACACGTGGCACTCATCATGGTATAGATCTTAAAAGCTTACTCTCGCCCTTCTGTTACCCTTTCCTTTGTTCCTTCAGAGTTTCCCGGAATGGCGACTGAAAACAAGTATGTCGGGATCACTCGGAGGCGGCATTCCGAATGGATGGTGAGAAAACACCATGGAGGCAAATACATTTACGTTGGGAGCAGGAGCACCCCGGAGGAGGCGGCCAGGCTTTACGATAGGTAATTGCCTTTTTTTTCTTCTTCTTCTTCTTACTCTGTTTTCAGTGAGCTTCCGAGATCCTTTTTTTACTGCGTCGCTTCTGTCACTTGTTCATCAATCTCCCTTCTCTCCTTGCCTGCAGGGCGGCATACAAGCTGAAGGGCCGTGAAGCTCAGTTGAACTTTGGCCTCTCGGATGAGCAAAAGTCAGAGCTCGACGCCATGTCAGAGCTTCAGTTCAAGGACTCAATAGAAAGAGAGAATTTACTGCTCAAGATGGGTCGTGGGACATCAAGGTTCAGAGGTGTGAACTGGGACTCGTCGAAACGGAAATGGGTAGCAAAACTTGGAGGAAAAGGAACACAAATTTTCCTTGGCCATTTTTCCACGGAAGTGGCGGCGGCTCGTGCGTATGATGAGGCTATAATCGAGAGAGATGGCCCACATGCATTGACTAACGCTTCTATCTTTGGCGAGTTGAGCAGCGTGGCTCCCCATAGTGGTGGGAGTGGCGGCGCTCAGGTGGCGCATGTCAGGGGCAGGCGTGCGGCTAGAGTGCCAGGTGGCAGCGAAGGCGCGGGTGTGAGGAGGAAGGCGCGTGGTGGCCGGGACAGTGCAGCAAGACGTTGCAGAGGAGGTAAGGCAGGGGTGCATAGATGGGGTGCATGGATGGGGTGCATGGATGGGGTGCGTGGATGGGGTGCGTGGATGGGGTGCGTGGATGGGGTGCGTGGATGGGGTGCGTGGATGGGGTGCGTGGATGGGGTGCGTGGATGGGGTGCGTGGATGGGGTGCATGGATGGGGTGCATGGATGGGGTGCGTGGATGGGGTGCGTGGATGGGGTGCGTGGATGGATGGGGTGCATGGATGGATGGGGTGCAGTGCTGCTGTGCTGTGGGTGTTGGCGACTGGGGTATGTCAAATATGAGCTATTGCCCTTGCATGCTCTTAGATACATGCTTTACTGAATCGATTCTAGGAGCAGTTGGTTATTTTTCCCCTTTTTTTCTTCCATTGTGTGAAAGGATCACAATTCCACAGTCCCGAGGCAAGGTTCATGCTATTGTATTCCATGTGTATCACTGCATTGGTGGATTCCATTAACACTGTCAGATTCAAGTGGGGGGACAACTCCTGAAGTGGATGGAAAGGAGGTTAAGGAGGAGGAGGAGGAGGAGGAGGAGGAGGAGGAGGAGGAGGAGGAGGAGGAGGAGGAGGAGGAGGAGGAGGAGGAGGAGGAGGAGGAGGAGGAGGAGGAGGAGGAGGAGGAGGAGGAGGACGAGGAATGGGGGGAGGAGGAGGAAGGGGGGGGGAGGAGGAAGGTGACGAGGAGGAGGAGGAAGATGAGGGAGGAGCAGAGGAGGCAGGAGCGAATCAGCCCAACATGGCGCGAATCAACAAGGCCAAGGCCACTCGTTCTTGTCCTTTGCCACTGTACCAGATTTAAGAGAATTCCGGGACAGAGGTTGCAATAAAGTATATCGGAATCACACGGGTTCGTTCCCAATGGATGGCGAAAAAAAAGGCATAAAGGCAAACATCACTATCTTGGGAGCAGGAGCACTCGGGAGGAGGCTGCCAAGCTCTACGATAGGTAAGAGTCCGGTTTTTTTCTTTCTTTCTTTCTTTCTTTCTTTCTTTCTTTCTTTCTTTCTTTCTTTCTTTCTTTCTTTCTTTGTTCTCAAATTGAGTTTCACTGATCGCTGCACAAGCCAGTTGAAGGTGCAGTGTTTCTGTCACTTGTTGTTCATCAATCTCCTTTTCCTCCTTTCCTGCAGAGCGGCATACAAGGTGAAGGGGCCTAAAGCTCAGCTCAACTTTGGCCTCTCGGATGAGCAGAAGGCAGAGCTTGATGGCATGTCATTTCGTGAGCTCATACAGTCAATGAAAAGGGAGAATTTTCTGTACAGAATGGGTCGCGGAACGTCGCGGTTCATAGGTGTGAACTGGGACAAGTCACAACGGAAATGGGTAGCAAAATTCGGGAAGGAAAGGCATCACCTTGGCGTTTTTGCCACAGAAGAAGCAGCGGCTCGTGCATATGACGCGGCCCTAATCGAGAGGGATGGCCCACATGCATTGACTAACGCTTCTATCTTTGGCGAGTTGAGTAGTGTGGTTCCCCACAGTGGTGGGAGTGGCGGCGCTCAGGTGGCGCATGTCAGGGGCAGGCGTGCGGCTAAAGTGCCAAGTGGCAGCGAAGGCGCGGGTGTGAGGAGGAAGGCGCGTGGTGGCCGGGACAGTTCAGCAAGATGTCGCAGAGGAGGTAAGGCAGGGGTGCATAGATGGGGTTAAGTTGTTGCGCTGTGGGTGTTGGGGGCTGGTGTATATCAAAGGAAACATTCTGTCCTTGGATGTTCCTAGGTGCAATTTTAATAGCATAAGTCGTAAGTAAGCAATAGTATATTTATTAGGATCACACCCTCTATATCCCTGGGGCAAGGTTCATGCTATGTGTATCACCAAAGTCTCTTTGTTTTTTTTTTTTGTGTTCTGTTGTCATTTTACCAATGCAGGTGCGGGGACAGTGCTTGAAGGGGACGACGAGGAGGAAATGGACGAGGAAGACGAATACCGAGAGGACGAAGAGGAGGAGGAGGAGGAGGAGGAGGAGGAGGAGGAGGAGGAGGAGGAGGAGGAGGAGGAGGAGGAGGAGGAGGAGGAGGAGGAGGGAGGAGGAGGAGGAGGAGGAGGAGGAGGAGGGGGAGGTGGTGGTGGTGGAGGAGGAGGAGGAGGATAGGGAGGTGGTGGTGGTGGAGGAGGAGGAGGAGGAAGATGATGAGGTGGTGGTGGTGGTGGAGGAGGAGGAGGAAGTGGAGGAAGAGGAGGTGGTGTTGGTGGAGGAAGAAGAAGAAAAGGAGGGAGGAGTAGAGGAGGCAGGAGCGAATCAGCCCAACACAGCGCGAACCAACAAGGCCAAGGCAGATAAACGTTGCGGCAAGAAGCGCAGTGGCAAGAAAGCCCCAATCTCCTCCTTCCTTTTGCCGGCACTTGGCGCCTTCAACGACTGGGGCAAACAGCAGCGGGCAGCAGCGCGCAGAGAGAAGGCAGTGCCAGCAGCAGTGCAGCATGTCGTGTACGAGGTGGGGCTCATGATGGTCCAGGGCCTCATGACGCCTCTCAGTCTGCTCAAGGAACAGCTGCTGGCTAACCGAGACTTGAGCCGGTGCTTGAGTCAGGGCTTGAGTCAGGGGTTGAACCAGGACTCGAACCTGGGACTCTTGCGACGTCTCAATAAAACTCATGATAACCGGGGCTTGAGCCGGGGCTTGAGTCAGGGCCTGAGACAGGGTTTGATCCAGGACATGAGCCGGGGGTTGAGCCGGGCGGACGTTGAGGCCTGCGTTGGGGAAATTGGGTGGAAGCGGAAGGGCAGAAGGGGTCGTGCTGGTGGGGGAGGTGAACACGGAGGGATGGGCGTGGGAGGGGGTGGTAGGGCTGTGGAGGCTGGCGGTGGAGTGGGGGGTGGTGATGTGGATGCAGCAGGGGAGAAGAGTGCAGGCAAGAGCAAGAGTGCTGGCAAGCACAAGTCGGAAAACATGGGTAGTGTGGTGCGGGGAGAGAGAGAGGAGCGGTTCGAAGAGGCTCCGGGGCGGGGTGGGAGAGTTGGTGGATATGGAGTGGAAGGAACTGACCGCTTTCGCCAACCGTCGTTACTCTGGCGGGTCTCGGGCAGAGGAGGGAGGTGCTGCTTCGCCTCCTGGGCTTTGAGTGGGCCTCCTGGGCAGGGGCTGGGGAAGGGGAGAGAAGAGGATGATGAAGAGGAGAGGAGGAAGGCTGATGAAGAGGAGAGGAGGAAGGCTGAAAAAGAGGAGAGGAGGGAGGCTGAAAAAGAGGAGAGGAGGGAGGCTGAAAAAGAGGAGAGGAGGGAGGCTGAAAAAGAGGAGAGGAGGGAGGCTGAGGATGAGGACGGCAGGAAGGCTTAAAGCTAAGGGTTGAGCGAGTGGAGGCAGCAAAAGATGGAGGGGGAGGGGTTTTGAGGGACACTTGGGAGATTGGTGGAGAGGGGGGTGCAGATCAGGGGTCAGACTGGGTTGCTGTGAGTGAGAGCGCCTATGCAGTGATGGTAAGGGTGAGGGAGGAGGGGAGTAGCATGGGAGGAAGTGGTGTGGAGGGTGGAGGGGGTAGTGGTGATGGTGGTGAGTTGGGAGGATTATGGTGTGGAGCAGAGATTGGTGGTGGGTTATGGTTGTTTGATGGCGCTTATTATTTGTATCACCAGTTCCGTTCAAGGGCATGGTGCCTTCTTGTTGCCGTTTTCTTGTAATTATTATCCTTCTCACAAAGTTCCTAACATGGCAACCAACCCTACCAATTACGGGCATCATGTTGAAATTAGGGAAAAACTGTGTTATTCACCCAACCATCTAAGAGTTACCTGTACGGTATATAAGAGACCAGTAGATGGTAGTGTTCACATCACAGGCGCCGCACGTTGCGGGTTTCTCCTAGGAAGAGGCATCCAAACACGTCGTTGAAAAAGGTTTTTGGTCGCAGCCACACAGATTCGTCTTCAGCTTCTGCGTTGCCATTTGAGTCAGTAGGCCTTGGGATTATCCTCTTCATGTCGTAAGTCACAGCCCGCGTGCAGTCTGGGCAGTATGTAACCTGTAAGTAGCCACATAAACACATATGCAGTGGTTAGGAAATCATAACCAGGAAATGGAATAAATGGACTATGATAAAATCACAAAATGTGGGGCAGGAGGACGACCAATAGCAGGGAATGAGGAGATAATTGCACGACTAACAGATCGCAGTATGATATTTTCAAAGATGGGCAGGAAAAAGTTTCAGAAAACGCATGACTAACCTCCAGAAGCTTGGGTTGGAAGTGATCATCCAGCATCACATCCACACCGTAGATTGCGCGACAGGTGTCGTCTTCTGGCTGCATCTCGGGATGGACGGTAACAGCAGCAGCCAGGAGCTCCCGCAACATTCTCTGCACTGATTGGTCAATGGAGTGCCACGTCACTGTAGCGGCAAGCATGCGAGATGGACAGAGGCGGAGAGAAAAAAGGTTGAGGTAAGAAATTAAAAGATTACGAGATTTGGGAGCAAAGCTGAGTAAGTAAAGTTGCTGAAAGCGGAGGAGGGCAGGGGGAAGACGAGGGGGAGGGTTTGAAGAGGAAAAGAAATGTAGAGGGATGATGAGTGCTCCGTACTTGCATTCATGTTTGTATGTCATGGTGCCATGTGCTAGTTGGTGGGCTGCAAACGCACTCCATCCATCAAGCAAACCGTGTCACCATGTCACTCCCTTTCCACGCCATACCATCCTTCCATACCACACGCCATCCCCCATCCATCCCACCCCATCACCAATGCATACCGCTGTGCTCTTCCTCAAACGCCTGTACGAACTCGTGTGTTGGCACGTGCTCGTACTTGTGACCGCTGTAGTTCTGATGAGAGAGAGGGGAGCATGGAGGGAAAGAGAGAGAGGGCAGGGAGAAGAGGGGGGGAGGATGGGATGCATTTACGTACAGAGAGGTCAGTGCTGTTCATCCCTCTGCAGTTCTGATGGCGAGAGGGGGAGGGATGGGATGCGGTTAGGATGCATGCACAGAGAGTTGTGTGCTGTCAAGTTGTGATGTGGCATGTGGTCGTAATTGTGGCTCCTCAGTACTGCACAGAACTGTTCAGTATTGTAAGGTTCTGATGAGGAAGGCATGTATGCAAAGGATAGATGAAGGCACGGGCAGGTATGTTGAAAGCACAAACGGGGATTCTCAAATGGCATGTGGTCGTACTTGTGGCTAATGTAGCTCTGATGTGGAAGGCACGTTTGCAAACACTTACATGAAACGCTCAGGCAGCGTGTGGCAGACAGAAACAATCAGCAGCAAACATTTATGCTGCTGGCAGATGGTGGCAGTGACCTTACCCTCACGACCTGTGAGGGAGCAGTACCACAGTGTGGTCACCATATTGTGTGTTACAGATGAAGTGGTACCACACCTTACCACACTGCACCACACCGCACCCTACCATGACAGTGAAGTGCGTCTGGAAGTCCGACAGGGAGTCCTCTGCTTGCGAGTATTTCTTGTTGGCGATGCGTGCCTAATAGTGCAAGCAAGGAGGGGTGACACATGGAAGCATGCAAGGGATGGGAAATGCGGGGTGCAGATTGAGAGTAATGAACTTCTTCAGAAGTCGAGTTTCTGAACAAGGGTCCTCTGATTGCTAATAAACCTTGTGAGGCAACGAACGCGAATAGTGCAGCACTCAACCCAACTCACTCACCCAGAACACGTCGGACAGATATGCCTCCAGCGGCTTCAGTCTTTTGAGCAGCAGCAGGAAGCGCAGGTCGAACTTCCTCTCGTGGAAGAGCGCTGAAGCCAACCAAGCAGCAAGCAAGCAGCATTCAACCCGATTCACTCACCCAGAATACGTCTGACAGGTATGCCTCGAGCGGTTTGAGCTGCTTGAGCAGCAGCAGGAAGCGCAGGTCGAACTTCCTCCCGTGGAAGAGCAGCAAGCGAGCAGCAAGCAGCCACCGAGCCTCAACTCACCCAGAACACATCGGACAGGTATGCCTCGAGCGGTTTAAGCCTCTTCAGCAGCAGCAGGAAGCGCAGGTCGAACTTCCTCCCGTGGAAGAGCGCGGGGCGGGAGATGTGCTTCTGAGCCACCTTGGGACCACTCTCTGCCCTCGCTTGCCTCCCTTTCCCTCAGCCCAGCACAGTACCTGCCTGCCTTGCTGTGGGAGCCTCACACCAACACCAGTCAGCCAGCACCGAGCAGCGAGCACCAAAACCCTGGGCATTCAACGCGACTCACCCAGAAGACATCAGAAAGATATGCCTCCAGCGGCTTCAGTCGCTTGAGCAGCAGCAGGAAGCGCAGGTCGACCATCCTCCCGTGGAAGAGTGCAGAAGCCAACCAAGCAGAAGCCAACCAAGCAGCAGGGAGCAGGGAGCAGGGAGCAGGCAGCAGGGAGCAGGGAGCAGGCAGCAGGGAGCAGGGAGCAGGCAGCAGGGAGCATTCAACGGGATTCACTCACCCAGAACACATCGGAAATATACGCCTCCAAGGGCTTCAATCGCTTGAGCAGCAGCAGGAAGCGCAGGTCGAACTTCCTCCCGTGGAAGAGCGCGGGGCGGGAGATGTACTTCTGACACACTTTAGGGCCGGTCTCTGCCAGCCGATCTGCGCCAGATAGCGCGATACCGTTGCATCCATGCTGCCAGCCACCAGGACCAAGCAGCAAGCACCAGTGGGCCAGCCAACTCACCCAGAACACGTCTGAGAGATACGCCTCGAGGGGTCTCAGTCTTTTGAGCAGCAGAAGGAAGCGCAGGTCGAACTTTCTTCCGTGGAAGAGCGCAGGGCGGGAGATGTACTTCTGGCAGACCTTTGGGCCGGTCTCTGCCAGCCGTACGATCTGCGCCAGGTGGCGCGCCACCGTTGCATCCATGCTGCGCGCGAGATTCCAGGGCTTTAAGATCCACGTGTTGTCCAGATCGAGGTCTGGGGGTGGAGGGAGCGCAGTGAGAGGGTGCGGATTTGCTCGCTCCTTCACTAAGTAACTCATTCACTAACTCTCTCACTCGCTAACTAACTAACTCACTAACTCACTCGCTAACTAACTCGCTCGCTTATAAACTCACTCGCTCGCTCACTACTTATCGATTTACTCATAGAATAACTAACTAACTCACTCGCTAACTAACTCATTTGCTTACTAACTCACTCACTCACTCACTCACTCACTCACTCACTCACTCACTCACAACTCACTCACTCTCTCACTCACTCATTTATTCATTCACTTCACACGTCGCACCTTCAGTCTTCTCAGACTCCTCACGGCCCTCATAGGTGGAAATCAATTGCCTCCCCCCAGCAGCAGCAGCCGCCGCCTCTCGCTGCTGGAAGCATCCTATTAGCGCTGCCAGCTCTGACTGCATGTCGTACGTGTCCTGTAACCAGGGACGCGTGTTGCCATATGCCTGCATGCGGGAGCAAGAGACGAGCAAGAGAAGCACACAGAAGCACAAGAGGGAGAAGAGAGCCATTCAACACCCTATCAGCGCTGCCAGCTCCAACTGCATGTCGTATGTGTCTTGTAGCCAGGGGCGCGTGTTGCCGTATGCCTGCACACAAGTTCAGAGAGGCCACAGGCATGTGAAGGCAGACATGCAGGGGAAAACATAGGGCACTCCACGAGGGTCGCTGCCAGCTCTGACTGCATGTCGTACGTGTCTTGTAACCAGGGCCGCGTGTTGCCGTATGCCTGCATGGAAGAGCAACAGCAGAGAAAGAAGCATCATGAGAAGGAGATACACAGCCCATCAGCCTATCACTGCTACCAGCTCTGATTGCATGTCGTATGTGTCTTGGAGCCAAGGACGCGTGTTGCCGTTTGTCTGCACACAGGAGCAACAGCAAAAGCAGAGCGAGCAGGAGCATGGAAGGAAGAGCATACGGCCATACAGCATCCTATCAGCGCTGCGAGCTCCGTGTGCTCCGTGACATGTGATAAGTGTCCTGAAGCCAGGGTCGCATGCTGCCTTATGCCTGTACGGAGGAGCAAAGAATAGCAACGGAAACGACACATCTGTGGAGAGCATGGCATGTGGCAAACTGTCGTTGTTGCTTGCTCCGACTGCAAGTCATACGTATCTTGTAACCAGGGGCGCATATATTGTAGAGACTGGGAGCAGCAAGAAAGCACGAGTTTATGGCGAATATGGTGCATGTATTGCTAGGATACTGCATGCTGAGTGCATTTGCGAAGAGCATGGCATGTGATGCGGACTGTATTTTGCAAAAGGACATGTCATATGAAGCTGACTGCATATGAACATTGCACTCTCTGCCCTTTCTGCCCTCCCTGCCCTCCCTGCTCCCACTTGCCTCCCTGCCCTTCCTTGTCCCTCCTCCAACCATCCACACCGCATCCCACCTGCTGTATTGTCTTCGCCAGGTGGTGCTTCATCACAATGCATGCCTCGAATGGAAACTGGTTCACAAACGGCTCTGGTTCTCCCTTGTCCCTCCCTGCCCTGCCTGCTCTCCTTGCACTCCCTTGCCACTCACCGCCCATTTGCACCGCATCGCACCTGCTGGACTGTCTTCGCCAGGTGGTGTTTCATGACAAAGCACGCCTCAAACGGGAACTGGTTCACAAACGGCTCACTGCCGCCCTTCTCCCGCCTCTCCTTCAGCCCAGCCGCCTCTCTGAACGCATCGTCCACCTGCATGCTCGTCCATATGATGTCCGCCTCGCTGGGTTTGTCAACTGGGGGAGAGGAAGGTGGGGAGAGAGAGGGGAATCCCAGTTTTGACAGCTTCTCTTCCCCTCGCTCGCCTCTCTAAACACATCATCCACCTGCATGCTCGTCCATATGATGTCCGCCTCGTTGGGGGTGTCGACTGAGAGAGGAGGGGTGGTAGAAGTGGGTGCGCAGAGGGAGAGAGGGTGGAAGACCTATCCATGAAGACCTATCCATGAGGGCTCTTTATCACCTCCCTCGCCTCCCTGAACGCATCTTGAATTTGCCTGATTGTCCACATGATGTCTGCCTCGCTGGGGGCGTCAACTGGAGCAGCCATTGCATGGTATGGCACCAAAAGAGTGCAGTGCGGTGCGTGGGGGAGAGAAAACAGAGGGTCCCAACAGTGTGACTAACGTGTATACAAAACTGCGATGGTGAACGGAACAGCATGAAAAGAAAAGAAAAGAAAAGAAAGGGAAAGAAAAGAAAAGAAAAGAAAAGAAAAGACAAGAAAAGAAAAGAAAAGAAAAGAAACAAACAAACAAACAAACTCGATGCCCCTTTCTTCGCTTGCCCCACAATGGTTGCCCCGGCCAATCCCTCACCAAACGTGAACTTAGGACGGGAGAGGGTGCAAAGGACGTGGGGAAAATCGCCAAACACTCAATATACTTCTGGCTTGAGTTGCTTGCCCACCCTCCCTGTGCTTGCACTAGACACTCACCAAACGTGAACTCGGGACGGGAGAGTGTGTCAAGGACGTGGGGCAGATCACTGAACACTCGATACACCCGCTTCCCCGGCTTGCCCTGCTAGCCCCTCCTTCCCTCTGTGTGCCCCACCCTCCCTCTGCTTGCACCACTCACTCACCAAATACGAACTCGGGGCGGGAGAGTGTGTCAAGGACGTGGGGCAGATCACTGAACACTCGATACACCCGCTTCCCTGCTTCCGCCTTCTCTGGCTCCGCTGCTTTCTCCGGTTCGCCTGTTGCTCCACCCGCCTCGCCTCCTCCTGCCTTGTCCTCTCTATTGTCGGGTTCGGCACAAGCAAGGAGAGCGGTTGCCTCTGCGTGCTTGGCGGCCGCTGCTGCGAATCTGCACAGGCGCTGCTCGTAGGCCTGGAGTGGGGTGACACGGCGTGGGACGAGTTGAGATGGGGGTGGGATGGGGTGAGATGGGGATAGTTGGTATGGTGTCTGGGACGAGATGATGAGAGGTGAAGGGAGAGGAGGTGTGCTGTGAACTTGCACAAGCGCTGCTCATAGGCTAGGTTTGAAATGGGGGGTGCGTTGAAACGAGGTGTGGGGCGGGATGTGGTGTGGGTTGAAATGGGTTGTAGTTGAAACGGGTGGGGTTGAAATGGGGGTGTTGGTTCTAATAAGATGTGGGTTGGGATGGGGTTTGGGTTGAAACAGGGTGTGGGGTGACATGGGTGGTGGGGTGACATGGGGTGTGGGGTGAATGATGGTCACTTCTGCCCTTGGAACCATGCAGCTTGGCCGACCGCTGCTGCTGCTGCCCTTAATTTTTGTATAGAGGGGAGTCACACGGAGTTCAATATGCATGCTGACAGGAGTGGATAAGAGCTGCCACACTTGCTGGTCGCAACTCGAGGGAGTGTGCTGTGGGACCACACGGACAGCTTGGCCGCTGCCGGCGGGAGCATAGACTAGAAAAGGGAGAAAGAAGAGTCAGCTTACTTGGTGGAGGGAGGAGGAGGGCGTGCAATTACACAGACAGTTTGCCTGAATGCTGCTGCTGCCCTTAGGGAGTCACACGTAGCTTAATATGCTTGCTGAAAGGAGTGAGAGCTAGCGTACTTGGTGGAAGCAGGAGGAGCGCTACTGCTGCCCTTGAGATTGAGTAGAACTGGGAGAGAAAAGAGTCTACATACTTGGTGGAAGCAGGAGGAGGGCGCGTGGAACCACATGGACAGCCTGGCTGAGCGCTGCTGCTGCCCTTTAGTGAGAAAGTCGAGTTGAGGAAGGAGTGGGAGAGCTGCCATACTTGCTGGAATGCGCTTGAGGGTGTGTGGAACCAGACTGACAGCTTGGCGGAGCGCTGCTGCTCCTCCCCCACCCCGGCAAGATAGTCCCTCGTGCACTCCTCCCCCGGCTGCACTGCTGCCACCGGCCACACCAGCGAGTAGCTGGGGTGAGAGAGGTGGGGACAGGGAGGAAAGGGCAGGAATGGGAGCGCAGCACGGGTAGTTGGGTGTGAACAGAGGCGTTGAGAGGAGCAGATCCCGCCCCACTCCAGCGAGATAGTCCCTCGTGCACTCGTCCCCCGCCTGCACTGCTGCCACTGGGCGGCCACACCAGCGAGTAGCTGGGAGGAGTGGGGGAGGGAGCGGAGGTGAGGACAGGGAGAGGCGGTGGGTTGAGAGACACGACACAAGAGGCTGTGCTGCTGCCAGAGGCCACACGAGCGAGTAGCTGGAGGGGTGGAGGTGAGGGAGGGAGGGCAGGGCAGGGCCAGGAAGGACAGAAAGAGGAGAGATGTTTGAGAACGTCTGGACTGCTGAATATTAGAATATGTGGTAAATCCCTCCATCCCCCATCCCGCAAGATAGCCCCCTGTGCACTCCTCTCCCGGCTGCACTGCTGTCACCGGTAGCGAGTAGCTGGAGGGGGGGAGTAGGGACGGCATGGGTGAGAGAACAGTGCAGGGAAGGGAGACCCACATGAAAACACCTCACAGAAAAACACCTGACAGCACACCCACCTGACAGCATACCCACCTGACAGCACAACCCATCTGACAACATTGGAAAAAACCTAACAGCACTGAAAATCACCTGACAGCGATCCCACCTGACAGCAACCCACCTGACAGCACAACCCACCTGACAGCAAATCACCTGACAGCCGAGGCGAAGGAACCGTCCGGGAGGAAGAGGAAGGGCGCACAGTGGAAGTTGGTTTAGAAGGAAGGATGGCTTACCAGAAACGCAGCACACTGACAGCCACAACACACATCCCCACGCCCATCACCTGACAGCACACCCCCATACTCACCTAACAGCAGAGGCGAAGGAGCCGTCAGGCAGGAAGAGGAAGGGCGCACAGCGGAAGTTGGTTTGGAAGGAATGGAAGGCATACCACAAGAAATGCACCTATACCTATACCCCCCCATACCTGACAGCTGAAGCGAAGGAGCCATCAGGCAGGAAGAGGAAGGGCGCACAGCGGAAGTTGGTTTGGAAGGAATGGAAGGCATACCACAAGAAATGCACCTATACCTATACCCCCCCATACCTGACAGCTGAAGCGAAGGAGCCATCAGGCAGGAAGAGGAAGGGCGCACAGCGGAAGTTGGGGCGGTCGCTGTGGCGGAAGGCACTGCCGAACTCGTCCATTACGTACCTGGTGGAATGAGGAGAGGGGGGGGTGGAGGGGGGAGTTTACAGGGGGTGGAGAATAAGGTGGAGAGCAACAAGAGGCATGTAACATGGAAGTTGGGGCGGTCGCTGTGACGGAAGGCACTGCCGAACTCGTCCATCACGTACCTGATGGGATGGGTGTGGTGGGGCGGGAAGAGGGCGAGGGAGGGGACAGAGTGGGGGAGAGGGAGGGGTGGTGGTGGTGGGGAGTGCGAGGGCATGTGGGAGGAGCGTAGAGAGGGAAAGAAGAGGAAGTTAGGGCGGTCGCTGCGACAGAAGGCACTGCCAGATTCGTCCATTGCATTGCGTACCTGATGGGTCGTGGTTGGAGTGAGAGGGCGAGGGCGAGAGGGGAGGAGGAGGAGGAGGAAGAAGGGTGGAAAAAGGACTTGGCGAGAGGAGAAGAGGATAAGGCAATCATGGAATGCACCACAGCCATGCAGCATCCAGCATACCTAGTCATAGCTCAGACACTTGGGGTGTTGGGCTGGATGCAGTGCAGTGTGGCGCAGTGCAGTGCAGTGTGGTGCAGTGCAAAAGCATACTCACACACCACACAGCACTGCACTCTAATCCAATTGCGTTTCAGTGGCAAGCTTGTAGCTTCACACGTGGCGCCACATGGTGTGCAGCACCGAGCGCATACCTAGTCATTGCTCAGTCAGTCGGACCAAAAAGAGTGCGGTGCAGTGAAGTGCAGTGTGGTGCATGGATCACTCACCACACTGCACTCTAATCCAGCTGTCTTTCAGTAGCATATGGCGCCACGTGAACAGAAGCTTGTAGCTGCACACGTGGCACCACATGGCATGCAGCACCGAGGATATACCTAGACAGTGCTTGGACAATCGGGGTAGATACAGTGCGGTGCAGAGCACTGCAGTGCAGCGCAATGCGATTCAGCGCGGTGCAGTGTGGTGAAGTGTGGTGCAGGCAGGAGATGCATACTCACCACACAGCAGATTCATCCAGCTGTGTCTCAGTGGCGAGCTTGTAGCTGCACACGTGGTGGTGCCACATGCCATGGAGCACCGAGGATATACCTAGGCAGTGGTTGGACAATCAGGGTAGATACCATGCGGTGTAGAGCACTGCAATGCAGCGCAATGCGATTCAGTGCGGTGAAGTGTGGTGCAGTGCAGGGGACGCATACTCACCACACAGCAGATTCGTCCAGCTGTGTCTCGGTGGCGAGCTTGTAGCTGCACACGTGGCGCCACATGGCATGCAGCAGCGAGCATACCTAAGTCCTTGGAAAATCTGTGCTTAGACACAGTGCGGTGCAGGAAAACTCAGTGCAGTGTGGTGCAGTGCAGTGCAGTGCAGTGCAGTGTGGTGCAGTGTGATAAAGTGCAGTGCAGTGCATACCCACTCACCACACAGCAGATTCATCCAGCTGTGTCTCAGTGGCGAGCTTGTAGCTGCACACGTGGCGCCACATGGCATGCAGCACCCAGCGCATACCTAGTCACGGATTGATCGATTGGACCAAAAACAGTGCAGTGCGGTGCGGTGAAGTAAAGTGTGGCGTGGATACCCACTCACCACACAGCAGACTCGTCCAATTGAGTCTCAGTGGCGAGCTTGTAGCTGCACACGTGGCGCCACATGGCATGCAGCACTCGATCCACCAATGGCGTGCCGGGCTGCCAGGCTGGCAGGCGAGGAAACATCCAGGAACCTCCGCGCATGAAGGAGGAGAGCGGAGCGCCGTTGAGGGAGGAGAGGCGGGGGAGGGTTGAAGCGGTGTCGTATGGATCAAAGGGGAAGGGGCCTTCTAGGTCTACCTGGGAGGGTGGGAGGGGGCAAAGAAGCATGGTAGCACAGAACGGAAGGGGGGAGAGGGAGACAACATTGGGAGGAGAGCGGAGCGCCGTTGGGGGAGGAGAGGCGGGGGAGAGTGGAGGCAGTGTCGTTTTGATCGAAGGGGAAGAGGCCTTCCAGGTCTACCTGGGAGGGTGGAGGGAAAACACAGGGGAGGTAGGGGGGAAACATCGGACTGGCCGGGGAGTGGGGGGGAGGAAAAGTGGGGCAGAGTTGAAAGTGCTTGACATGAAGCAAAAAAAAAAAAAAATCAAAGAACAACAACTTTCCAGTGTCAACTCTCAAATGGAAAAAGAGTAGAGGGGAAAGACGAAGTACAAGGAGGGCAGAGCAGCTTTGAGGGAGGAAAGGCGGGGGAGGAAATCAGAGGAAGAGGAGCAAAAAGGGAGGGGAGCAGAGGGGAGAAGAGCAGAGTGGGATGGGAGCAGAGGAGAGGAGCGCAGAGGAGGAGGAGAGGGAAGGGTGGAGAGTAGAGACAGGGAACAGAGGGAGGAGAGGAGAATTGCATGTGCTGCGATCACATCACATCACATCACATCACATCACATCACATCACATCACATCACATCACATCACATCACATCACATCACATCACATCACATCACATCACCTCACCTCACATCACATCACATCACATCACATCACATCACATCACATCACATCACATCACATCACATCACATCACATCACATCACATCACATCACATCACATCACATCACATCACATCACATCACATCACAGTGAAAGCGGGGAGATGGGAGAGGGGTGAGGGGAGAGAAGAGGTGTGATGGATGGGAGACGGGTGGGTGTGAAAGGAGGGGAAATGGGAGGGGCGAGGGGAGGAAAGAGGGGAGACGTGAGATGGGAGAGGCAGCAGCATCACGCTCAGCTGACAAAATCTGCTGCCCAAAAGGGCAGCATGATTTGAACAATCTCTCATTTGTACCCATGCATATTGACATACAGTGCTGTCCTTACTCGCCCGCCTCCAGCAGCAGCGCCCAGGAGCACACAGCTGCACCCAGCAGCACCGCACTTACTTGCAGAGAGTGCAGGGAAGTGAAGTGAGGGGCAACACTGCAGTGCTCCCCTCGCTCGCGCTCAACAGCACCCATCAGCACCCATCAGCACCCATCCGCATCCATCAGCACCCATTAGTACCAAGCAGCACCAAGCAGCACCAATCAACACCCATCAGCACCGCACTTACTTGCAGAGAGTGCAGCGAGGGAAGCGAGGCGAGCGGCAGCAGCACAGAGGCACGAGAGGCGTCGATGGGAGCGAGAGGGGAGAGAGGGAGAGGGTTCTGAGAGAGGTTGATGTGGGCGAGTGATGGGAGGAGGGCTGGGGAGAAGACCTGCATAGTCAACAAATAACAGGGCGGGACATAAGGAAGAGGAGCAGGTTCGGGACGAAGGAAACACAGGAAAGGGTTTTGAGAGGCGTCAAGGCGAGCAAGGGGGAGAGAGAGAGAGGGTTCTGCGAGTGCAGGGAGGATCGCTGGGGAAAAAACTAACAGGGGAAAAAACACAGGAGAAGACTTTTGAGGCGGCTCAAAAGAGAAAACAAACAGAGAAGGGTGGGAAGAGGGACAGGTTAGGGGAGGGGGAAACGCGAGGAAGCATAATAAAATGTTAAGATTGGGGCGAATGGGAAGAGAGGACGCGGTTTTGGCGAGAGGTGATGCGTGTGATTGCAGGGAGGTAGGGCGGCATGGAAAGGGGAATGGAAAACGGCATGTGAAGAGGCAAGGAAAGAGGAGAGGGAAACATCAGTAGAGGCATAGGGAGAGTCTACCCAAGTCAACCATGATGTGAATGGTTGGAATTCGCCACATTCGATCACGTTACTTGCTTCAGCTCAATCCACACCCAAACCCCCCACCCCGCTCCCTCACCCGCCCCCCCCCCCCTCCCTCTCTCTTCCCCCGAACACAAGTCAACCCAAGCCAAGCCAAGCCAAGCCAAGCCAAGCCAAGCCAAGCCAAGCCAACCCAAGCCAAGCCAAGCCAAGCCAAGCCAAGCCAAGCCAAGCCAAGCCAAGCCAAGCCAAGCCAAGCCAAGCCAAGCCAAGCCGAGCCAAGCCAAGCCAACACCAAGACAGCCCACGTCAAGCCTTAATCTTCATGCTTTGAACCCGTCCCATCTCATTGAGTCACACCTCTTGCTTGAGCTCCACAATTCCCCGGTCAGACAAGTCAACTTCAGTCAACCGTGCCAGCTCAGCAGCCGCCACGTCACCATCCAACGTGGCGCGGTGAGGGCCCGCCACGTCAGCAGCGAAGAGCAGCGACCACGTGGAATAGCGGCGGGTGAAGTGGCGGTTGAAGAGCTCAAGATTAGGGAGGGATTTGAGGAGGGTGTTTCTCAGGTCAGCAGCAGCAGACCTGTGAGTGGGAGCATGGGGCAGAGGGAATGATTGAGGGAGGTGAGGAGAGGGGTAGGGTAAGACAGAAGGGAGGACGAAGGAGAGATTTCCTCAGAACAGCAGCAGAGGACCTGTCAGTAAGAGCATGGGGGAGAGGTAGTTGGGGGGGGGGGGTGAGGAGTGGTGTAAGCCAGAAGGGAAGAACATAGCAGGGGCAGCACTGTAAGAGCAGCGCCCAAGTGGAATAGCGGCGGGTGAAGTGGCAGTTGAAAAGCTCGAGCTTGGGGGAGGGATCTAAGGAGGGCGTTTCTCAGGTCAACATAGTAAGGTAGGCACAATGTGTGGTGTGAGTGCAGCGCCCGGGTGGAACAGTGGCAGATGAAGGGGAGGACGGTATGGCGGCTCAATGGCTCTAGGGTGGGAAAGGGAGGGATCGGTGGAAAAAGTTTCATTGAGCCAGAGCGCACGCAGGGAGGTGAGAGGAGAGAGCAGGGAGGGTACTAGTGAGACGTCTCAATAGACCCTCCTGTTGTGTTTTACTCACTCGGTGGCAGCACAGGGGTTTTCATTGAGCCAGAGCGCACGCAGGGAGGTGAGAGGCGAGAGCAGGGAGGCCACTTGAGCAGCGTCTGTAAGTCGGTTGCCCCAGAGGCTCAGACCCACCAGGTTCTGATGGTGGGGGGGTTGGAGGGTGGTGTGACTCAGAAGAGTGAGTGTGACAATAACGAGAGATGGTGATCACTAGCAGCGCCTGTGAGGCGGTTGCCTTGCCCCAGAGGCTCAGACCCACCAGGTTCTGGTGATGGGGAAATGGGAAGTCCAACCAATATAGGGAGGGTTACGAGAACAGGTCAAATATGTAAATCAGTGGCGGGAGGAGAAAGGCCACTCGAGCAGCGTCTGTGAGGCGGTTGCCCCAGAGGCTCAGACCCACCAGGTTCTGGAGGTGGGGGAATGGGAACGTGAGACAGGGGGAAGGGCAAGCGTGTGAGACGCAGTGCAGAAGGTTGACATTGTGCTTTGTCACATGTGGACGAGAGCAGAGAGGTCACTCGAGCAGCGTCTGTGAAGCGGTTGCCCCAGAGGCTCAGACCCACCAGGTTCTGGAGGTGGGGGAATCGGGAAGGAGGGTGATACAGGGTAATAGTGTGACTGCTTTGAGGCAAAAACCCCTTTGCTGTACCCTCTAGAGGCAGCCTCGTTAGTGAGACTCACAGGGAAGCGCTCGTGCAGGTTCATAGCAGCAAGCATGTCATCATCAATCCCCTCCCCATCCATCTCCAACCACTCCACACCGCTCTCCACCTGCCTCTCCACCACTCCCTCCGCTTCTCCACTCTCCATTGTCTCATTTGTTTTCGGGATTCGTGCGTCCAGAGCTGCCCGAACTGCCCGCGAGATAATCTCATCAACGGAATTTCTGCCCTTGTTTTCTTCCTCAGCCTTCTCTGCGCCTCCTGTTCTCCCCTCTCCCCTTCCTTCCACCTCCCCATCCCCCTCCCCCTCCTTCTCCCCCTCCCCCTCCCCCTCCCCCTCGTCCTCTCCCCCAACGCACATGAGAGCCGCCATCCGTGCTGCCAGCTTGGGGAGGCTCTCTAGCTGCGACAGACGGGGGGGAGAAGTACGGGGAGTGTATGAGAGGGAAGGGGGTGGGAGGAGTGGGGATTAAGGCAGATGGAGAAGAAACGGAGCAGCGGCACATGAGAGCCGCCATCTGCGCCGCCAGCTTGGGAAGAGTCTCCAGCTGCAGCAGGGGGGAAGGGAGACGAGGGGGGGGGCTGGAGGAATGGGGAGAAGGGATGGTCGGCGAGAGGGGAGTGTGTGGGGTCACGAGGGGGAGGGGAATTGAAGCGGAGGGAGTAAGGGAAGCCGCAGCATCACAGGAGAGCCCAGCTGCACCCGAGCCGCCATCCGAGCCGCCATCCGAGCCGCCATCCGAGCCGCCACCCGAGCCGCCATCCGCGCTGCCGGGCTGGGGAGGCTCTCCAGCTGCGGCAGGGGAGGTGGGGGTTTGATGGGAATTATGGTTGGGGGGAGAGCGGTGAGAGGAAATTGGAGGTGGAAAGGGGAAGGACAGACGCAGCGTCTCATTGGCATTGGCATTCGTAAGGCTGTCCCCAACATGTTCGTGCATCCATCCCCCTTCCCCTCCCTCCACCCCCCACGTGCCTGTTCTATCTCTCTCTTCCCCCACCCAAACCTCTCTTTCCCCAATCCAACCACACAATCTCCCCCAACACTCTTCCCTCGAGACGTGCCTGCTCGCGCGCCTGGCGGCTCCCCGCACACTCTCCCCGCACACTCTCCCCGCTCATATTCCCCCCCGCGCTTCCCCCCCACAGACGTCTCCCCGCAGAATCTCCCAGCTCACATTCCCCCCCCCACTTCCCCCCCACAGACGTGCCTGCTCGCGCGCCTGGCCCAATCGGAACGACCACGCGTGGTCCACTAAAAACACGTCTCCCTGCGCGTCCAATCCCTGCCCGCCACGTGTCAGCACGACGCGCCGCTGCCGCCCGCCCTCCACCTCCTCGATCGCGAATCTGCCGCCCGCATCGAATCTTTCCGCCATGATCTTCTCGAACAGTCGCGGGTACAGTTCGCGAGGTAACCCTGTCGCGAGTAACAGCATCTCGTGCACTTTCACGAAGTCCTCTAGGGTCTGGATGCGCGGAGGCGGGGGCTCCGCCGCTGTGGCGGAGGCCTGCGCATCTGACGGCTGCGCGGGCGTGCTCCTTGGCGGAGCGGAGTCAGCCGCGGGCGCCATTTGGGAGCAGGTGCCCAATGAACAGGTGCCACGTGGAGAATACCGATAAAACGCTGACGAAAGCAACGAATGTCGCAGGAAGGCGGTTGGCGAAATGACGGATTCGACTATCTATCGAATGGTATTTATTCCTGCCCTTCGAGATTGTGGTAGCAGGGGTTTAGGGGGCAAAGGAGGGTGTTTGTGTTTAAGAAATTGGTTTTTGGCACAACTTCACAAGGTGTGTAACTCCTCGAATTCCATCGCACTTGTCGAATCGTGTTACCGTTCTCGCCAGAGTGTTACCGTTTCAATCCATCAGCAAGTTCGGTCCAGTTCGTGGTCCCAAGCAGTTTTGCACAGTGAATGTCGAGAACCTTCCACAACCCGTAACGCGCTGCCCATGTACAAGCAACCTGTAACGCGGATTTCTGAGTACCGCTTTGTTCTCTTAAAAAACCGTTCGCAACCTGAATCTACAACCCCTGCACACCTCTCGCCAACCAGTCAAGAGTCAAGACCGAGATTACCTCGTCACAACAACATACATTCGTGGGGATCAGATACTAAAGCTAGCGTAGTGACTTCAGATACTAAAGCTTGTGGCTGCGAGCTCAGCTACATTTCCACTCCAGCCAGTCTTCGCCGCTACTCGCCGTGCCGTTCACCGTCATTAGCGGGGCGCCTCGAGCCTTTCGCGGCTTCGCATTTCTCACCGTCACCTTCCGTTGAAGGTACTGTACCCTCTTCCTTTTTTGCTTTTGAGAATTGTAAGATAATAAGCGACTTTTGCGGCTTCGCATTTCGCACTGCTACCATTCGTTGGAGCCGCCGTCGCCCACCGTTCGCGCGAATTCCTCTCCATCGCTTCAATTCTGTTGATTCGCCTAAAAAATCGCCTTGCTGCCACCATTTGTTGGAAGTACTACCCTTTTCCCGCGGCACTGACAGCGTCAGATGCTGACGGCGTCAGATGCTGACGGCGTCAGATGCTGTCCATCGCTTCACTTTTGAGACGTCTCAGAACTTCGTCGCTTCACTCCCGCCTTCTCACGTCCCGTGACGTTTCGCTTCGTCGTTTGAGGCGTCTCGAAAGTCTTTTCGCGTCCCGCTTTTCAAATGCCTCGACGATCCAATGCTCGCCGCCACATCATGCGACGATCCAATGCTCGCCGCCACATCATGCGACGATCCAATGCTCGCTGCCACATCATGTGACGATCCAATGCTCGCAGCCACATCATGCGACGATCCAATGCTCGCCGCCACATCATGCGACGATCCAATGCTCGCAGCCACATCATGCGACGATCCAATGCTCGCCGCCACATCATGCGACGATCCAATGCTCGCCGCCACATCATGCGACGATCCAATGCTCGCCGCCACATCATGCGACGATCCAATGCTCGCCGCCACATCATGCGGTTTCCCCGCCCCTTCCGTCTATATAAATATTACCGTTTTCGCGCAAATCTGCTTGTCACTTCCAGACAGCTTTCCGCTGGACTGAAGAGGGACAGTCATAACGGATAACATCAGGGGGCTCTTATTCCCGCTCTCCCCGCCCTCCAATCTCGCGTTGCTATCCCTGCTCTTCCCGCTCGCGCCACCACGTACCAGCATGTCGATTTCTGCCCGCCTTCTCCGCTCGCCTCCGTTCTCTCCCTCCCCCCCCCCACTTCCCCCAACCCCACACTCTCCCCCCCCACCACACCCGCACACTCCGTTCCTTCTCCTTCCGACTTTCCTGTTCAAATCGTTTAAGGCGGACATCAGAAACAAGTCTGCCCTTCACCCCCTCTCCGTTCCTTCCGCGTTTCTGTGTCAGGATTTGGAACGGAACGATCAAAACGATCGTGACAATGAGGGCCTCACTCCCCACTGTCTCTTTCTCCTCGACATCGCCCTGACCAATCCTCTCCGTTCCTCCCTCCTCTCCGTTCCTCCCTCCTCTCCGTTCCTCCCTCCTCCGTTCCTCCCTCCTCTCCTTTCCTCTCTCCTCACTGTTCCTACCGCTTTCCCGTGCTAGGTTGTCAGGACGAGCGATTGCATTGATCGCCACAATGAGAGCCTCACTCCCTCCTACCTGCCTCCTCGTCCTCCTTCTGACGCGACTTAAAAATTACTTCACTCCCTCTCCCTTCCTTCCTTCCTTCCGCTTTCCCGTGTCAGGTTGTTGAGTTGAAATGAACGATTACAACGATTGCCACGATGAGGGCCTCACTCCCTCCCACCTGCCACCTCCTCGCTTTTCAACGGCACCTCTCCGTTCCTCCCTCCTCTCTCCTCTCCCTTCTTTCCTTCTGCTTTCCCCTGTCAGGTTGTTGAAACGAACGTTTTCAACAATTGCCAAAATGAGATCTTCGCTCCCTCCCACCTGCCTCCTGCTCCTCCTCCTCCTCGCCATCGCCCTAACCACCCCTCTCCACACCACCACCGCCGCCGCCGCTGCCGACAAAGGCGAGTGCTGGCGCGAGAAGCGGGACCTGGAGGAGTGCAGAGCGGTGGAGAAGGTTGCGGCGGAGCGGAAGGAGGCAATGGAGATCAAGGCGAATGCAACGGAGGAGGCGGCGCACAAGCGAAGGGACACGATGTTTGAGTGCAAGGAGAAGGTCGACCAGGACAAGGAGGCGTGGCAGAAAGAGAAGAACGAAATCAGTAAGGCCTTCGCTTCCTCCCTTGTATTGATTCTCAAGTTTCCTTGTTATTAGCGTCACACGGATGAGACTTAGGAGGCGGCTCACAAGCGGCGGGACACGATGTTTGAGTGCAAGGAGAAGGTTGACCAGGACAAGGAGGCGTGGCAGAAGGAGAAGAGCGAAATCAGTACGTCGCACACGAGATGAGCAGTGTCCCTCTCTGTCATTTTGGAGTCAAACTGAGAGGTTAAGTTTGCTTGTTTCGGTGTGCATGAGATGAGACAAGCAGGACAACACGATGTTTGAGTGCAAGGAGAAGGTTGACCAGGACAAGCAGGCGTGGCAGAACGAGGAGAGTGAAATCAGTACGGCCATCACTTTTTTTTTTTCTTGATCGCCGTTGGAAATTAGCCTCGTTATAGTGCCACACTGAATAAGCAGTGTGACACGAAGCTTGAGTGCAAGGAGAAGGCTGACCAGCACAACCTCGCATGGCATGGCACAACGAGAAGTCCGAGATCGGTACGTAATGTGTTCCTCTCTTTCTTTTGAGAACTCTCAAAATTGGCACAGCGTGAGGGGGGTGAGTCTTCAAGGGTGGCCCTCGTCTTGAGACCAGAGTTGGGGCGCCTCAAAATGAGACCAGAGTTGGGGCGCCTCAAAATGAGACCAGAGTTGGGGCGCCTCAAAAGCCGCTCAACTTTTGTACGTTTGCCACGTTTCAACTGATTGGGATTCACCATCCCATCCTGTTCACATTCCCATCCACCCCTCTGCACATGCGTGCACACGGTTCACTCTCCTCCGCATGACACCGCCTCCTGCAGGCCTCGTGCAGGCAGCCCTTGCTATCTGCCATGTTGCTACAAGTTCAAGCTCGCAACCAGTCCCGTTCCCATCCCCCCTCATCGTGTCATCCCTGCCTTGTTCTGCTCGTTTGAGGTGCCTCAAAAGCTTGCAACTCCTCTTGTTCCCACTCTCCCTCTGCATGTCACCCTGCTGTTCTCTTTGGTGCGTGTGTGTACAGCTGCTCGGGTCGGCACGCTGGACAAGAAGGTGAAAGGAACTGGAGGAACAGGTGGCTTCTTTCTCGACTCAAACCCCCCCTCCTTCATATATTCCTTGCCTTATTGTTCTCGTTGGGTGTGCACAGCTGCACGGATCGGCACTCTAGCCAAGAAGGTGAAAGGAACTGGAGGAACAGATGACTCTAGAGTCAACTTAAAACCCTTCTCCTTCATATCACCCCTGCTTTATTGCTCTCTTTTGGTATGTGCACAGCTGCACGGATTGGCACTCTAGACAAGA